TCCTTCCAATAAAATCCCATTACTCACCCTTCCCTTTCCATTTCACCCTTTTCTGTTCGTCTACAACCTCCCCCCCCATGATCCGTCCCTACCAACTTCCCCCCCATGGTCTGAAAATTCAGAGGCTGTAGTCTGGGACGGCCTCTAGAACAGAGGTCTTAGTGTACACTTATCCCGTTTCAGTACAGTACAGTACAGAGTACATAGTGCATAGTACATCTTTAAACGGCTATAAATATAATCCCCTTAGTTTAACAGCTTACCTCTTACAGCATCAACAAAATCATTCTGTACGTTATTGTTTTCAATACTGGTGTCAAATGTTTTAGGTGTGAGACAAACCATGTAATTAGATTACAGGGTAATCGGTATACTTACGTCATATTTGGGTTCGATGCAATGGATTTTTCCGAGCATATTTTCGTTTTTTTAAACTGCAAACCGGGTTGAGACTTGAGAGATCCGTTTCGGCCAGTTTTTCTTGGATACACTTTAGAACGTACTGAATATCGGTGTTCGTATAATTTCGAAGATTCATTCAGAGTCAATATTCTAGTTTCATGAAATTGTATGCCCAAGAGGAACTGAACAAGTGAATTACCGTATGCCCTTTTTCTTAATGTACATTTTCCGTGAAAAAAACAACATTTTTCCAATTACCAATTTAGGTTGAAATGGAAATTTTTTGATGAAAGGCTTTACAGTTATACGGTTTTACCATATCGTGCAATGTCTCTGGGATCCAGGATACACTGTATAGGATTGTGTACTTAGAAGTTGCCATCTTGAAAAAGCTAGTATCTTAATATATAAACATTTTCTTTATCCATCTCTGTTTCTAGGTTGTATAATAAAGCGGGTGAAAAAATGTTTAAGTATAATAAGCTTGGAAGTCTTCAAAGTTTAATCAGTACAACAGAACAGGTAAACCAAACCAGTCCAGTACATACAATAACACATTAGCCAAACCAAACCAGACCAGTACATACAATAACACAAGTAGGCCAAACCAAATCAGACCAGCACAGTACAATAACACGTGTAAACCAAACCAAACCAGACCAGCACAGTACAATAACACATGTAAACCAAACCAAACCAGGCCAGAACAATACAACAACACAGGTAGACAAAACCAAACCAGACCAGCACATACAATAATTCACACGTAAGCCAAACCAAACCAGGCCAGAACAATACAACAATACATGTAGACAAAACCAAACCAGACCAGTACAGTACAACAACACAGATACGCCAAACCAAACCTTTACAATACAGTGCAGCAGACTTTCACAATTAAACTAAAACAGTACAATAGGGTATACGATCAATCGATCATAGGTAAATCAAACCAACTGCATGGTGTTGACTAAATCAAATCAGTACAAACATCACATTAAAGTATCTTTAATGTAAAAAAAATTCGATTGATTTAAAAACAAAAGACACATTTTCAAAATGTTTGATTAACAGTTGTGTTTTGATTAAATATTGTACGTAATACAAAGCTTAATGTAAAACAAAAGCAAAACTAGCTAAATTATCTGAACCCGCCAAAAAATATCAGAAGTCGAATTTTTTTTATTGTGAATCTCTGGATCAGGCATTGATCTCCATCTTATGCAGACAAACGGATTCACTTAATTTGTCTTTGATACCTCGTGATAGTCCTACCCTGCAGAGATAACATTAGTGTTGACTTTAAAAGTCAATATGATAAAATAAAAGGAGATCTACATGGATATTTCTAACATTTATTTAATAAAACGGATGTTTTGAAATAGTGTAACTTCAAGTGACCCTNTGGTGGTGCAGATCATCAATCTTGACGGCAGGCTTACTCACAACTAGGCTTAGTCTAAGGGAGAGAGATTGCGGACTTATCCTGTATACAGGATAATGGAAGGACGTCTGATATCCCCCCGGATCTCTGGAACATTGCGGAGCGAACTATTGTTACCTTCTCCTGTGGGGCACGGAGCTAGGTGTAAGCAGTGTCTTCTGTTGTTGGTTCTGTATCTGAATCATCATCATGGAGGAGCCAGGGTTGAGACGGAGTTGTTAATGTCTTGAGTGTTCATGGCTGACTGCAGGGGCTGGGATCTGTATAAGGGGGGGGGGAGAAGAAGCGGGGTTTGACATGTGAGCACTACGTGGAGGAAGTAGATCTTGAGTACGCAAACATCTAGAGAAAAGGCTACGGCAATTTGAGTCGGAAAAATCGTCTTCCTTATATTTCGAATTAATTTTAACAATTAGATATCAAGATCAAGTGTTCAAGATTAACAATATCCACCCAAGCTCAGTGTAAATTGTTGTATGTATATTGGCCCAAAATCCGAAGTTACAAGTAAGAAAATCAATTTTTGAACAAAAAGGATGGAATAAAATGAAATACAAGGTGTATACATTTATTTAAAAAATTGGTTCAGTGGAATTTCTTTTTCACTGTTCCAAAAATATTTTTGATTTTTTTTATCACATTTTATATTTTATGCCTTAACTCCGTACAAAACAAAAATTTGAATAATTTTGTTTAAAAGATCAATAATCCCAGTTATTTTTTTGGACTGACACTGCATGTATTGTATTATAGGCCAAGTGTGGATAATGTTTATCAAATCTAAAAGGACTGCATAAACCCTCATTTCTGTCCAGAGAGAACGTTTCATTTTTTGTCGCAGAATTTTGTGCAGGAAAGTGTCTCCTTTTTAATTTATAATATTTATTTTTTTAAATGTGTTTTTTTTCTCGAGGCTGAGGATATCCTTGAGGTCGACAAGAATGAATCTGCACCGAAAGAGAAAGATGTTCCGACGAAAGAAAAGTGTGAAGATGAAAAACCGAAGGAAAAAAAATGGGTGAAGGCTGATTCTGATGATGAGGGGAAAAAAGAGAGTTCTTTATTTCGATGCATCCCAAAGAAAAAGAAGGTAAGACCCACACCGATTCTTATTTGAGAAATCGAAAAAAAAATTCTTTGTCTCAGTTTTTTAAAGCAACTTTTTTCAGAAAAAAAAATAAAAAGTTAACACTTTACCTTGGTAAACGCGTTTAAAGTAATAATTTAACTATGGTATAAAAGTTGTTTATTTGTGAAAAAATAGATAAAAATCTTGAAATTTAATTTTTTCGTTAAGATTGAAGACCTTGAGAAAACAGTGAATGTTTCCACCAATGACGATATCGGTAAGAATAAAAAACAATTCTTCCATTTTTATCTTTATGTTCATGCAAGATGAAGTGCCCGGCATTGCCCGTGGAATTTAAAAAAATCGAAAATAAAAAACCCTTTTTTTCAGTGTATGCTTCTGTTTTGTTCTATCATACAGGGTGTCCCAAAAAACATGGGAATTCAGTGACGAATTAGATATCGTCTTTTCAAATAATTCTTTGATTTAGTATAGTGATTCCTACTGAGAAAGCTGTAATCTGTAAGAGTTTCGTCTGCTATGTTTACATTTTGTTTGTTTATGTTTTGACTGCAACCGGTTGTACTTAATAAAACAAGAAAATTACAGTATACAAACAATGTAAACTTGTCCGTATTCACTGTTCATCTTGCGGAGACATTATAGACACATCTTTGCAGTCTTTTACCATTTTCATTAAATAAACTCTAGCAGACATAACAATATTATGGCTTTTGAAATTAGGTATTACAGTGCTAATTCATAACAAAGACGATATCGAATTCGTCACTGAATTCCCATGTTTTTTGGGACACCCTGTACGTAATTTGTGGTGTTTTATTCAGTTACTAGCTTGGGAACCATAGTTGCCCAGGTTACTCATAGTAAATCTCGCTGTTTACCTGCACTTGAACGATTTTACCCAACTAGAATCTTGAAACCAAGCTAAGAACATTACCGTGGGTATCCCGAGTTCCCCAATCAAAATTTGAGGCAAATCGGTAAAGGGGTTACTGAGTTATAATCGGACAAACAAAAAACAGACAGACAAACAACTTTATATATATATATATAGATATCTGGTCACCAGGATTTATAGAGTTTATTTTTATCCAGTTATATCCGGTCACCAAGATTTCCAGAGTTTATACGCTACTAATGATATGGTCACTCCTTCCTTCACTGTTAATAGGTATCAAAATAATTAGGAATATAAACTGTGACATAGGAAGAAGAATGTAAAAGTCAAGTAATGTTTTCTAATAGACTAATGACTAGTGCAGTGTTCTTATACCATACCTATTTTACTGACAAAGTTGATTTTCAAATTATTTGTTTTGTACCTCCAGCAGGAAACATACAGACAATTGACGAAATGTCGTCTTTTTTCCCACGTAATTATTGATTCATGTGCACAAGAGGTCGGAACGAAAGAATAGTAAGAAGTAGTTGAAGGGATTGTAACCGTAATTTCAAGTGACCTTCCATGAAAAGATGGTAATGCCCGATTCACAACAGTACCAATAAAACCTTGTCAGTATGCCATCACATTGCCATCTTGTCACAATGCCATCACATTGTCATCTTGTCACTATGCCATCACATTCCCATCTTGTCACTATGCCATCATATTGCCATCTTGTCACTATGTCATCACATTGCCATCTTGTCACTATGCCATCATATTGCCATCTTGTCACAATGCCATCACATTGCCATCTTGTCACTATGCCATCATATTGCCATCTTGTCACTATGCCATCACATTGCCATCTTGTCACTATGCCATCACATTGCCATCTTGTCAATATGCCATCATATTGCCATCTTGTCACTATGCCATCACATTGCCACCTTGTCACTATGCCATCATATTGCCATCTTGCCACTATGTCATCACATTGCCATCTTGTCACTATGCCATCATATTGCCATCTTGTCACTATGCCATCACATTGCCATCTTGTCACTATGCCATCATATTGCCATCTTGTCACTATGCCATCACATTGCCATCTTGTCACTATGCCATCACATTGCCATCTTGTCACTTTGAAGTTATGAACTATAGTCAAAGCTCTTGCACTAGTTATTTACTGTGACCGAGAGTGTTTTATAGAAGTAGTTCAATTTGTCGACAACTTTAGCGGTTAAAAAAATCCTCAGGAATTCCTTAAGATGGGATTTAATGAACTTGAGAGATTTAGTTCAAAGACCTACTACGTTAAACTATACCAAGTTCAGTTCCGGCAAAAAAATTGTGGTTCGACGACTAAAGTATATTAAGTTCAATTCTTGATAATGGGATTAGTCTTTGTCACAAAATCTGTTTTCTAATCCCTATATCTTTGCAACCCCATGTCGCAGACCTTAAATATTGCAAAACAAAAAATCTAAGTTTAAAAGTTTACCCTCATATCAGGTATCCTATCCTTATATCCGTATAGGATTAGAAAATTTGAGTCTGTGGCAAAAAATTCAATTTCGTTTTACCTAATAACAACCGGTAAAGTTTTAAAATCTTATTTCGAACAAAATCTACTCAATAGATTTTGTACAGTTGATTCTACTAAACTAAATTTTTAAAAATAATTATTTTCAGATTGGGGGCTCCGAATAACTCTACTGTAATGGTAGGAACATCTACTCTTTTTAATTTTGAAAAACTCTGCTAGACTTTTTTATTCAGAGATGATAAAACAAGCATAGATAAGATAGAAGTTTAAATTTACTATGTTTTAAACTGTTTAATAAATTCATGAATTCTTAAAGGGCATGTTGACGTAAATTTAATTGAACCTCCGTTAAAAGAATTACATCACAACGGTATCCTTTAAAGCTTTGTCTGCTGAAAAATAACAAGAATATTCTTGAATTTAAATTTGAAAATTTCTTATTCTCTATTTCGGTTTCGTTGGGAGAAAAACTTTCGGATTAATGCAGCAGGAGATTTAGGCAAGGAATAAAATTGACAGAATTAATTGTTTAGTGTGGATGTGACAATATAAACTGTCCTTTCTGTAATATTGTACAGAGTATTCGTAACAGGTATCAACTATGTACAGGGTGTCCTATCAACTATGTACAGGGTGTCCTATCAACTATGTACAGTACAGCTAGGGTGTCTAGTCAAAACGGAAATAAGAATTCTTTTAAATCGTATTAAAAAATATTTGAAAAAATATTTTTCAGTTATCAAATATTTAAATAAGAATTATTTTTACTTGACTCTTTAAATTCAGATAGAAGTAACAATTTTTTAAAATAGATTTTTCCTTTAATACCAATTATAAGTTGAATTCTCATGTTTTTATGGTGGTGGTGGGGGGAGGGGGGAGTGATTTTTTTCATCCTTTGACGTTTATAAATATACGGGATTTAAGTGCACTATAGTTCCGCCTGCCTAATATCATTGAGTCAACCATATAATGGGTACACTAGACGGGCTGGTACGAGCAAACACTACACCAGGCAATCATTGTACCGGTTCGGATTATGCAATTTAGCAATTATGTTTTTTGTTCTTTAGTTTCAATAGGGGAAAATATTATATCTAAAGGGGGTATACCTCCTGCACAATCAAATGTTAAATATTCAATCTAATAATATTTAGGGATCCAACTCTGAACTAGGTCTGTTGTCCTCTTGAACTAGACCTGATCAAAGATCAAAGATAATTGGAACAGTCCAACCAGGAGACGAATCAGAAATATCTTCCTTCACCTAATCACAAATATATTAGTTTGCAGGGGGACATTCAAATCAATGACGACATTTTTTATCCTTAAAAAGGATTTTGCAGGAAACACTGCATGGTTGCCGCGTATAATTTTTCTCTAAAAGTCGTCTTTGAATTCCAAATAATTTTGACCTGGGGATCACTTTATATGTATTTGACCCAATCCATAAATAAATCAAGTGTAAACTATATTATCGATCATTGGTTTAAGCAATTGATTGAAAAAAATTATTGAATGGATATAAAAAGAATAATCTGATTTAGATTTAAACAAAGCTAAGTTAAACCCTTAGAAGTTGTACAATGTACAATTGAATATATATTGTTTATTTCTTCTATATTTCTGTAATGATTTAAACACAACTTTAAAAGATTTATAAACAAAACTACAACACTCAAAAACCTGTGTTTAAATTAAACCAAAAATATACTTCCGAAAATTGCTGTCTTGAATCTGTAAGTAAACAAACTATTTGTTAAGATTCATTTAAACTGTTTTAGCAAAGGAATTAAGATCTTGCTAAATACTCAAATTTGTCATCCCTACATCTTTGAAACCTGATGGTAAATCTCTGATATTTCAAACTGAAACTATTTGATTGAACAGAACTCATGACATTATAAGACATCGGGTTGTAAAGACAGGTATTAGAAAATCAGAGTTTGTGGCAAAATCTCAATTTCTTTGTTTCTATGTGTATTCAAATATTATATTGAACAGTAGTTTAATCTTCAAAAAATGCGATGATGTTAAAATACAAGGTCCACTATTTGAAAAAAAATTTAAACGAAGCTTTAAATTCTTTTTTGACTTATTTATTAAAAAAAATCTTTGCGCCTTAAAATGTTAGTTTTGCATGCCATAAGTTTGGAAATTGCCTTAATATCTATTATGTACTGTGTACATGATCTAAGAAGATGTTCCTATAAACCAACAACTATGTACATTCGGAACTTCCCAATACTTATGTGTATTGTGTACAGTGTACTGCAGTGTTTATATTTCTCCCACACACAATGTAAATTAGATTTAAATAACCTACATTGAGTTTCTTTATATCCATTTCAGGGGACATTAGTTCCAAAACTAACACTTGGCACAAATTGAAAGACTGTGTTTTTGGGATCCCGACCTTTTTATATTCAATCTCTTTACCGTTTTCAACACAATGTCAGGTTTTCCGTTTTCGAGCATATCCTGAATTTGAAATATTGTCGCGTTTTCGAGACAAAACCCACTTTCCCGTTTTTGAGTATAATCCGCAATTCAAAACAAAACTTACCTTCATAACTTAAAAAATAAATAATTGGAATCAAAAATTATCTTATGAAGACTAAATTAATTAACATCTGAATTATTTCTAGAATCTAAGTTTCCACATTTTATCTGTTAAATTATAGAGAATATGGATGATTTATTTTCAAGCATTTTAAACAACCAGTCTCCCGCATTTCTAGTTATTTCTATATGGTAAGAATAAATGATATTAATATTTTGATTTCTCAATGCTGTAATGATTTTCAAATTATAAAAGAACAGTTGTTTTTATTTTCTATTTTTTTTATATTTTACCTTACCAAAAAATCTTATTTTGCTACGTAAGTGCGGAAACGCTAAAAAATTGACATTTATTGTTTCAATATATAGTTTTAGCCATTTTTTATAAATGTATAATGTAATTTTGTTCTACTCGTATTGGATTAAAAGATATATACTTTTGAAAATAATAACTTTGCAGATTTGGCCCATTTCTAACACTCAGTGTTAGAAATGGACAAAATTTTAGTTTTGGAACTAATATCCCCTGGATTTAGAGGGAAACTCAGACAAAACAGTCTAAAAAAGTTGAAAAATGGATTAATTTAACTCCTCTTTGATATTGGTCAAAAGCAAGGATAACTTTAATTGAGGGATCCAGCATTAATCCTTAAATTAAAAAGTGCCCACATCGGATATAGAGATCAAGCATTCAAGAGTAAACGACACTCCGAACAAAAGTTACGACCTGTGAACAACTGAACCTGAAACAAAGTAAAGTAAGCACACCCTGTCAATTCCTCTTTTCCAAATATCTCCTGCTTCATGATACAGCTAAACACTGTGTACACACAATTCACACGTCTTTGAAGATTTCAAATGTATATAGTTTAGTTTCTGCCTACCTTTTAAACAATAGGAGAGAAATATGTTAATTGTACGATATCAAGTAGGGTGGGTCATATTGTTAAATGCCCGATGTCAAGTAGGATGGGTCATATTGTTAAATGCCCGATGTCAAGCAGGGTGGGTGATATTGTTAATTGTCCGATGTCAAGTAGGATTGGTCATATTGTTAAATGTCCAATGTCAAGTAGGGTGGGTCATATTCTTAATTGTCCGATGTCAAGTAGGATTGGTCATATTGTTAAATGTCCAATGTCAAGTAGGGTGGGTGTCAAGTAGGGTGGGTCATATTCTTAATTGTCCGATGTCAAGTAGGATTGGTCATATTGTTAAATGTCCAATGTCAAGTAGGGTGGGTCATATTGTTAAATGACCGATGTCAAGTAGAGGGGGTCATATAATTAATGAAAAAGTACCAGGAATGACCCTTCACAGTTTTCCAACATGTGCACGCTCTCACTTTTGATGATTTTAGCAGGATTTGGCCAATTACTCATTTTTAAACTTATACTAGAACCAAGACCTCTCTAGTTCTAAAATGTACATGTCTAATGTTAATTATCTAGATAAAACTAATGGCCAAGACGTTGCGACAAATCAAACTCCTCCCAGTCCTGAATATTGATGCATGATTTACAATACTGTTTGTATCTTTGTGTGTAAGGGCTGCAGCAGGTTTTATACACCAAAAATGGAACAATTTTTCTGAGCCGATTGAATAAAACCTATTTAGACAAAATCGATTTTTTAAATCGTGATGGTATGACCCACTCTAATGAAAATTATCCTATGTTTCAACTCTTAAAAAAAAATTTGCATTTAAAAATATTAAAACTAACATTTTTGCCTATTTACATAAATAGTTACTTAGATATTTCGGACATCTATCTATAAATTTGGCTTGTCTGTCTGTTTGTCTGTCTGTCTGTCTGTCTGATTGTATCCAATAAACGTCAAAACGGCTGAACCGATCGGGCCCAATTTTTTTGTGGGACATCTAGTGACCCCAGGGAAGGTTTATTAATGATTGAAATTTTAAATATTTGTCTCCATCAAAATTCGATCTTCATTAAATTTTTTAAAATTTTGAAAATCCACGAAATGTTTTGTGAAAATCCGCGAATTATTTTTGTTTTGTTTTACGATGTACACAAAGAGAACATGTTCACAATTAATTTAGAAGATGGGCGCGAAGCGCCCTTTAAGGCTAGTCTATATATACATTTGGCTTGTCTGTGTGTTTGTCTGTTTGTTTGTTTGTTTGTTTGTATCCAATAAACATCAAAACGGCTGAACCGATCGGGCCCAATTTTTTTGTGGGACATCTCGTGACCCCAGGGAAGGTTTATGAATGATCAAAATTTCAAATATTTGTCTCCATCAAAATTCGATCTTCATTAAATTTTTGAAAATTTTTAAAATCCACGAAATTTTTTGTGAAAATCCGCGAATTATTTTTGTTTTGTTTTACGATGTACACAAAGAGAACATGTTTACAATTAATTTAGAAGATGGGCGCGAAGCGCCCTATAAGGCTAGTGTTTTAAAAATAAAATGGCCAGGAATGTCAGAATAAACATTATATGTTTCTTTTGACACATCTCTAGAAGTGCCATATAGTCTTATTCTTTAGGATTTTTTAATAGAAATTTCTAATTGTTGACACTCAAACTCCATTATCCATTTGTCCCTTGCCACCCCTATTATTATTCTATATCTATATGCAGGATTTACATTAAATGTATATATAATTAATTCTTCTTATGCTATATAATCTTTAAATTATTTAAACTTACAAAAAACACTAAAATATGTTATCATTCAAGCTAGTTTGTTGTTTTTTCAAGTTGTGAAAATAAATTATTAATTGTGATATTCTTTTTAAATAAATCAAAATATTGTTTTTTAACAAAATGTTGCCACGCAATTTTGAAATGTATGTGCCTAGGGTTACAAAAACGTGTAAGTGAGTTGGCGAGGTAATATTAGCTTATTTCTCTTACAGCAGCCTTAAGCCACGACCGTGCGGTCTTCATGCCACAGCATTTGAGTCTTCCGGCAATTATTACGTTTTTAATAATTAATTTATTGCATTGAAATGGCTTTTTTTTTTCAAAAATCCAGCCGCATTATACGATTAAATATTGCAAATTTCAGGTTATGGGCGCCCTTTGAACTTAAACAGTATGTTATGGTGCATCATTTTTATTGTTCATAATGTTTTCAAAAATAAGCCATTTTAGATGAAAGATTGATTTTATTTTTGGGGAAAGTAAGTTTAGCAGTTTACATTAATAGTATTCATACTTATTTCAATTAAAAACTTAAATATAAATATCTTTATAGATATCATTTGCATGACGCAGCCGGAATTTTGAAAATCGCAGTTTCAATGCACTAAACTATTTGAGTCTTTGCCACAAATTCAATTTTTGTAATCCCTATATCTTTGCAACTTGATAATTTAATAAACCATTGATATTTCAAAATCACATTATTGTATCTAACAGCATTCATAGTTTGAAATTTCAAAGGTCTACAACATTGGGTTGCAGCGATATTGAAATTAGAAAATCAGAGTTTGTGGCAAAAGCTCAATTCTTTTACCAAATGAAAACGTAATAATTGCCGGAAGACTCAAATGCTGTGGCATGGAAGACCGAACGGTTGTGGCTTATGACTGCCGGAAGACAAAAAAGCTAATTTGTGGCATGAAAGGGGAAAATGTTGTGGCTTATGGCCGCCTGCCTTTCCCCGCTCTTTTTGGACGCACTAATCATATGACACTTTAATAAGAACTCACCATTTAGCACGCGCTATTGAGGCGACACTGTTTGTGAAGCATATTGAGGACGCACAAAGTGTGACATACATATGTACATAAATACTTACATAACTTTTAGCTTTATGTAATAATGATGGTGTGAAATTTTGCAGATTTTACGAAAAAAAAACACTTTCTGGGATAAGCAATGCAACATAACTTGTATAGGATAACAATCAACAGGTGTGGGCTCATCCCTATTCGGACGATGATACCCCCCCCCCTCTAGTTCCCTCCTGGACCCATCCTCCCAACAAATAGTTACGGAAGAGTGGATAACCCGGAGAAAGCCCGCGAACCATGGAAACCAATCCGATGTAGTTCTCTGTAAACACAGATATCAGTCAGTGCAATTACAGAAAATTTATTCATTCCATAAATTTCTAAAAAAATATATTTTAGTAAATTTATAGCATTCTTTTTGAACACAACAAAATTTTTCGTTGTTTTGGGTTTAAATGTATTCTTTTAAAAAAGTTATAATAGTACTTTAATGCATTTCTTTATTTTCGTAACAAGTCTAATTGTATAAAAACTATTAATGTCACTTAAAGATATATTTCATTAATAATGAGTTTGAAAAATGAAAGCCACTGTTTGCGGCAGTCATAGAGCCGTATAGGACTGCAGTTTGAAATACTCCTTTCTTCATTACACACTACACTGCACATACTAGTCTCCACTTCCAGAATTATATGAATTTCTTCTAAAATGCAAAACAGAATATACTTGAAGCTCAATATTTAAAAAACAATTATTCGATCTATTTCATATTTGTCAGTAAAAGATTATTGGTTAAATAATTTCATATATTTTATATATTTCATATAAAGATCAGATGAGAAATAAAACGAGAAAAGTTCTGGTTTCTACTTTCCGAGAAAATCAATACAAACGGACGGACAAAGAAAACTAGAAATAACGACATTATTAGAGAATCAATAAATGTTCTCTTCTTTGTTGAAGCAATGAGTGGAAATCCTTGAAAAGTCTAGAGAAAATACGCAAAATGGGTCGTGGCAAAGCTTGTTGCGTAGGACCTTGTTGTGCTGGATCTCAAGTTGATAGTGAAGAAGAATACGACCCGTCGCACAATGGACCGATTAAGGACAGATCTTGCACAGATGTCATATGCCTACTACTATTTATTGTATTTTTACTCGGTTGGGGCGTGGTTTCCGTGTATGCTTTTGTGAATGGGAATCCTAAACAGCTCATATACCCTAGTAACAGTAGAGGTTTGTATATATAAGCTTTATTCTTAAAAAATCTATGCATATTAACACGCAACTTCGTTAATATAAAACTGTAACTTTTATAAACTTTATTTTTTTCATTTAAAAAAATTTATATTACGATCAAGAGAAAGAAAGAGTTTTAAAAGGTTTCTGCAAAAAGTTTAGTTTCAGTATCATTATCAGTTTATAGATAACAAAGCACTGACTCGGAAAAAAATGCTCACATGACTTACTTTTTACAGAAATAGTTCTCTACTTGTAGGTGAGATATGTGGAACTGCTGATCACTCTGAGAAGCCGTTCCTGTTGTTCTTTGACCTGACAGTATGCATCGGGCTGTCCGCGACTATCGGCGGATGCGCGACCCCGCAAGTGTGCGTGCGCGAATGCCCGTCAGGATACTGGTCTTATGTTACTGGAAAGACAAAGGAGCTCCAATCTTTTTGTACAGGTTTTTAAAATAATTATTATTTATCCAAATTGTATAAATCTTTTCTTTTTTGACATTATTTTCATGGAAATGTAGGCCCATTCAGATATACAAAGATGGTTTGATTTGATGTTTTTTGATTGAATGATTGTATGCCCAGCTTAAATCATTGGATGCTTTTTGATTGAATGGTTTCATGTTCAGCTTAAATCATTGGATGGTTTTTGATTGAATGATTTTATGTCCAGCTTAAATCATTGGATGGTTTTTGATTGAATGATTTTATGTTCAGCTTAAATCATTGGATGGTTTTTGATTGAAAGGTTTCATGTTCAGCTTGAATCATTGGATGGTTTTTGATTGAATTATTTTATGTCCAGCTTAAATCAAATGAATGGTTTTTGATTGAATGGTTTCATGTTCAGCTTAAATCTTTAAATTAAAATTAATCATGAAGTCAAAAATTGACTAAACAGTGAAATCCAGCCTTCAAAAGGTTACAATCAATGTTTAAAAACCCTAAATAATTCAAAGGGACTGCAGTAAACATAATTTTTCAAGTGACCCTCCCCCCTCAGTTAAAGAACTGCATGTCCGATTCACAGTGGAACCCTTTAAACTTTATCTGAGAAATTATGTGGAATATATTGACAGTTTTTTTTTACCCTGAAACGTGTTTAATTCCTTTTTTTTCTCTATGATAAAACTGCAAGTCAGGGTTTTACAGGCAGTTGAAAATTATTAATTTTCCGAGAGAAAAACATGAATATCTTCTCAGCTTAGCTAAGCCCAAGGTTAAAAGGGTTTTGTTGTGATACGGACATGCAGCAGATATTGAGGGTTGCTTGAAATTATACGGACAGTCCCTTTAACAATTATTAAATGTCAATTTTAGATTTGAGTCCTGGTGAGTTTGAAGGAACGGATGTAAATACTTTGATAAGATTACGGAAATGTCCAGCTTACCTCCTGGACAGTACTCATATTCTGGGTAGATGTGTTCCTAACTTTGGTATCTTAAAACTTAACTCATCAGAAGAAACTTTAATTCAACAACTTAAAAAGTAAGTTATCTTCTATATAATAAAACAAGACATTCGTATATATGTTGCGTATAGCTGACATTTTTTGTGGAGACTCAGGGGTGACCGGGGGTGTTATAGGCTAAAAAATATTTAAAGTTTTTCCTCAAAATTTGTTTTTTTTTACATATTTTTTCCACGGTCAACGCCGGGCTCTTCAGCCAGTGTATTATATAATACAAAATTTGCTGTAAAAAAATGTCGAATTCCCCCCCGTTATCGCCAGACTTGAGAGACATTTTAAGGGTTCAACTTCGTTTTTAGAGTACGTTGAGAAACTTGTTTATAAAATCCTCTCTCCGAAACAACGAAAGACAATACAACCTAAAGTACAGAACGATTCATAATTATAAATCATTCGAGAAACTGATTATTCTCCTATGGATAATTTATTTGTCTTTAATCGTGATTGAAGATTTAAGAATTAGAATGTTAGAATATGAGACTAGTACTCAACTCCTTTGGAGTCTTACAAATCCAATTTTTGAAAATATGAAAAGCTACATATATTTTCTTTATTCATAAATGTCTGTAAACAGTAAAAACGTCACCCATTCATGGAACGAAAATAAAGTTTTTGTTAACTTTTATTATTTTATTATTATTATTAGCTTTTAGACAATATTATTTATTGTAAAGGGATGATAACACAGCATTAGATACTGGTAGTCTAACTCAGGGAATAAAGTTCTTGATGAGTGCCATTAACCTGGGAGGTTTAGGAGATAAACTTCTAACTGATTTATCCTTCTACTGGTGGATTCTTCTCCTTTCTCTTCTAGCATCCATGCTTCTATCATTCTTCTGGATAGGTATATTAAGGATTTATTTTAGAGCACTGGTTTATTCCATCAGGTTGTAAAGATATAGTGATTAGTAAATTTGAGCTTTTATCAAATACCCAATTCTTTGATTTAAGTATTTTGAGTGGATAAACGCAAATAAGGGAGAGAAGAGCAATCCTAGTTTATATATATGTAAATAGTAGAGAGGACATTTTATCACTTTTAACTTCAAAACATTTTTTTATCGAGAATTGTTTTCCTAGAAAACGGATTTTGTACTTTATCAATCAACAATTTTATATAAATATTTTGTACTTTATCAATCAACAATTTGATATAAATATTTTGTACTTTATCAATCAACAATTTGATATAAATATTTTCTAATGCATATTAAGTTTATACATTATTGTTGACGTAGTTTTAGAATATTTAGAAAACATGTATAGTTGTTATTTTCAATTATTCAATATAACATTATTGTTTATTGAATATTTATATATATATTGTATACACGCATTCATCCATAGTTCCACAAAAACACAAATTTGCATGTTAATAATCAGTAATTTTCAAAAACCCAATTTATTGATTTATTAAAAAACTCAGATAATTTAACAAGGGATTTAACCAGTTTAAGCCAGTAGTTCTGGTTATCTGTGAGTACTAAGCAAACATGGTAAAATCTATATTCTAAGTTTACTCGTATGAATTACATAAAAGTACTGAAAGCTGCCTTTTTTTGTTAATGCAATAATGTGCATATTAGCACTACTTGGTACGTATGCTGCTCAAATAAAATATTCAAGTAGATATTATATAAAGAGAAATATATTTACAATTATATATTCAAACTAGCTTGGGAACCCAGCTTTGCTTGGTAACTAAGTTTTCCCTATAAATTCAACCAGCGCTCAACTTAAAACTTTTAAACCAAGCTAAGAACAATTGCGTGGTTCTACTGATTTCCCATATCAAAATTTTAAGCAAATCGTGAAAGGGGTTCCTGAGATATAATCGGAGATACAAACTGACAGACTAAGAGAGATTACTATTTTATATATATATATATATAAATGATATTGTACGTTTAGCACTGTTGAGATATGCTGCTGGTCCTATGGTCTGGTTAAGTATTATACTCGGAGTAACACTACTTTTAACAGCTTCAGCTCTATTCTGGTACAGGTACAACAATAACAACAACAACAACAACAACAACATTAGACACATTTTCAATTTTTCAACTTAATTCGTAGAAGGGTATAAATAGGAAGAGAATCTAAACCTATAATTAAGATATGAAGACTTTATGTATTTTCATCTTCATATTTCCTGATTGAATCATCTTTATATGATTTAAGGTTTGAAATACAACCAATTAAGCAACAAATCAAATTAAAAAAGGATTGTACTCATCCTCGATTTCGAGAGCATTTTTTACTAGGTAGAACATTATTTAATCAGATAAATAACGTTTTTTAGCAACTTAGACGATCAGGTTTACACTATCTTTTCAAAACTTAATTTAAATAATCATTGACACAAAGTTAAAGTTTCTAAAATTCATTAAACCCAATCCATAAGAGAAGATCACTTAGTCTGTAGTCGCAGAAGAGTCTAACTCACAAGTTTAATTTAGCTTGATGTTATTATAACTTTTGTAAACATGTTTATTGTAGGTATACTTTGCTGTTGGAAGCAGGAACTGATGCGGATAAAGATGCTATTTTTCTCCCTCCAGGAGTCAGCGCATTCTCCTCATTCTACTTTAGTCCAACATTTTGGATAGTTGCTGCGATTATCCTTACTATAATCACCGTATTCATCATCCTCATCCTTATCTTTCTTAGATCAAGGATAGTTATAGCAATAGAACTCATAGAGGCGGCTAGTCAAGCAATAGGAAGCAATATGACAACCTTGTTTTTCCCAGGAGGTCCATTTATCCTCGAGGTTCTCTGTATTATCTGGTTCTGCTTAATCGCATCCTTCCTTGCATCCTCAGGAGAAGCGCAGTTCAAGGTTGTGGATACATGTAAGGAGATGACCTGCTTGAACCCTGAAACTAACCAGGCCTACTACAAGAACCAGGTGTGTGAAACAACCTCCTTCAACTGTTCCACCTGTCCCCAGGCTAAATGTGTGTTCCATAAATTTGGTCCTGGTCTACTAGGATCCGTTCTCCAGGTTTATAATCTCTTTGCACTCTTCTGGGTTCTTTTCTTTACCCAGGCTCTAGGAGAGATGATACTAGCTGGAGTATTCGCTGGTTGGTTCTGGACAATGGATAAAGTAAACGATCTACCCCTAGCTCCGATATTCTCTAGTGCTCATAGAACATTCAGATATCATCTTGGAACCATAGCTTTCGGTTCTCTTATCCTAACAGTAGTTAGGATGATACGTGTATTCCTGGAGTTTATAGAGCAGAGATTGAAACAGTATGGACCTGATAATGTAGCTGTTAAAGCTATTCTCTGCATGTGTAAATGTTGCTTCTATTGTCTAGAGAACTGTTTACGGTTTCTCAACAGGAACGCGTATATAATGACCGCTGTTTATGGATACAACTTCTGTAGCGGAGCCAGAAGATCATTTATGCTGTTAGCTAGAAATCTAGCTCGTGTAAGTGTTCTAGATAAAGTGACAGATTTCATCCTTCTCATTGGTAAAATAATAGTTCTGAGTCTAGTTCTACTGTTTGCTCTAGCGTTGTATAAAGCAGGAGCTATAGATGCAGAACGCCAGCTCAACTTTCAGATAGTTCCAGTCCTTCTCATCATCCTTACAACATACGCAGTATCTTCAAGTTTCTTCTCCGTATACTCTATGGCGGTGGATACAATATTCCTGTGTTTCCTGGAGGATATAGAGAAACATGATGGTTCAGAGGAAAATCCATATTTCATGCATCAAGATCTCAGAAGGGTTCTTGGATATATGAACAAAATAAAACAAGTTGAAGAATCTAAACAAGAATAGATACCAGACACTTGTCAATTTTCTGTAAACACAGTCGGGAATACGGTTCTCAACAAATACAATTTAATCAGTTTCTGAACAAGTCTAGGTGTAAAAGTTGCCGTATCATGTAAAAAAAATTCGACAAATGTATATTATATAATCTATATATTTTCAAATAAACATATTATATTGCTATTTCATTTAAATTCTTTCTACGAATTCTTATTCTCTTTCTTTTCCTACACACCTTTCTACCGAGTAGTATTATTAGTATTGTTAGAGAGAGCCAACCTGTAACAGATCCTAAACAGATATACCTCTTATTAAAAAGTATTAAAAAAAGAAAAATATCAAAAGGTTGAAAGAAGAAGTTTATAGTGTTTTATAAAAAGGTTTCTTCATGTGTTCTTCGGTTTTTTTTGTATTCAATGTTTACTGTATCTTTCCTACCTAATCTATTAATTAGCACGATGAATCCAGACTGATATTGTAAACTCTGAACAAGGTTCGTCTGATCATGATTAAACTCCACTATAGATATATCTTCAGGTTCAGCTCCGAACAGAGATGCAACCTAAACATGAATTAACTGATCTATATCTTCAGGTTCAGCTCCGAATGTAGATGTAATCTAAACATGGATTTAACTAATCTATATCTCCAGGTTCAGCTCCGAACAGAGATGCAACCTAAACATGGATTTAACTAATCTATATCTCCAGGTTCAGCTCCGAATGTAGATGTAATCTAAACATGGATTTAACTAATCTATATCTCCAGGTTCAGCTCCGAATGTAGATGTAATCTAAACATGGATTTAACTAATCTATATCTCCAGGTTCAGCTCCGAATGTAGATGTAATCTAAATTTGACTGGACTCACAATATTTCATTTTAATCCTGATATCTTCTTAATCTGATATCTTAGACTATAAATACGTCTAGATCAATATTTAGACTTTAACTTTATAGTTAACACATCCTTACCCTATAATCCCTTGATTTTCTTTACCTTGTTCTCAACTTCTGCTGATATTGTGTTCACTTCCCAGTATTTTCTTTCACACTCTAGTGGACACTTTTCCCTTAGAAAAAATTGTAAATTTGATAATTTTTAAAAACATAAAATGGAAAAATTGAAAAACATGAAATGGATTGGATACATGCATCTGTAAGTATTTTCTAGACATCACTGTCCTCGTCCTTATAGGTCTACCTGAGATTTTTCTGAAACCGTTCTCTAATATTAGGATTCTGTGTTACCATATCTCCCTAGGATAAACAATTGGAATACAGTCAAAGGAATTGAGTCTTTGGAACAAAATCAAATATTTCAACCACAATATCTTTAGAACTCGATGTTGTAAACCTTTGATATTTCAAACTCAGATTATTTGATCTAACAGAATTCATAGTTTGAAATATCTAAGGTATGCAACATTTAGTTCCAAAGATATAGTGATTAGAAAATCAGAGTTTGTGGCAAAGACTCAATTCCTTAGTGTTCAAAATAATATGGCAGCATGCAGTTAAAATGTTATAAAGGGTGATGGTCCCGTTAACGAGAATGTATTCGTTATCTATGGTTATCTGCACATTAACAACCATTTCTTTTTTATTGTTATAAAAAACGATCAAAACTACGTTTTCAAAATTGCATAAGATAATAAGACAAGATTGTAAATATTAAGTCAACAATATATAAATATAAATACAATATATAGAGTACACAAAACAATTATTTTTCTTGATGGATTTAAGGTTTTTATGCGCGTTAACACAACTTGTGATTTGCTATGTTTAATAATTGAATAATCTTACTCTGAAAAGTCCAACTAACCTGTTCTCGCAATATGTACATGAGAGCTAGAGATTCCATTGGTCCGCAGACAGGTAGATCAACTCCTGGACACAAAATAACAAATTTAACTTAATATTGATTTTACAATGTTACTGTAGACTCACTTCAAACTATATTTTTTTTGTCCTTTTATCTTTGCATCATGATGTCGTAAAAATTTGATATTTCAAGCTATTAATTTGGTTGAATCAAATAATTCAGGTTTAGAATATCAAATATTAGGATGAAGAGATGAAAGTAATGGAAAAGTCGAGTTTGTAATTGTATAAGTATAAGGATAATGATGAAATGCTTAGCACAAATTAATCAAAGAAATCTCTGAAAAAAAATGATTATTAATCACTGGAAGACTTGATTTATTGACATGAATTTTTGGTGCATTTTTCAGTTAGAAAAACTGCACAAATTAAAGACGACATTTTACCTGGAGATGACGGAAGGGAAAGAAGAGAACAATTCACAGACTTTTCAGCAATCATTTGCATAACAGTATTCCTGGAATAACAAGTTTAAAATATTTTCACATTAATCTTATAAAGAAATATGACCCGTAGATAGTTTCAGTTTGTCGTATATAAGATACAATCATTGTAGAAATTGCAAAAATTTCAAGAATTTTACAAAACTTGAAGGAAGCTTGAGGAACACAGTTCTCCGTGTTTACCCTTGTATACCTGCATCCAGCTTGTGTATATGCTTGTTTATCAAGTACAGGAGCATCCTTGCATCTTGTCATATCAGATCTTGAACCCTCGTGGTTTAACAGAACAGGTCTAGTTCACCATTTAGTCATATCTAACTTTTCTTATTCAATATTGGTAAACAGAAAAAAATTTACTCAGTGAAAAAGTTAATTTTTTTCCCGACAAAGGAACTTAACACTTGCAAACTTTAATTTTCTAGTCCGATATCCTTGCAAGCTAATTATGTAAACCTTTAATATTTCAAACTTATAATTGATAATTCAAAATTTGAAATAATTTGAAGTAAGTAAGGATGTAAGTATGAAGTAAGTAAGTAATTATTTATTTATGAAATATAACAAAAACACAAAATTAAGGGTTTCAGGAGAAAATATTTTAAAACCTACAAAGTTAGAGGTTATAGGTCTACGACATTAGTTTTAAGAATTAGAAAATTATAATTTGTGACAAGAGTTCAGTTTCTTAGAACAGTCTGCATAGTATAAGATACTACAAATCTAGTATTCTTTAATTCATTGGACCATTGGATCAAAACTTTAGTATTTCTAATCTCCTTCTTTACGCGCTCAGTTATTTCCCCTTCTCGGAGTTTAGTATATGAAATCGGTCTCATCTAACTCTTTCTTTAAATCATTTTTTAGCTTTATGTGGATTTCCCATATATTTCACACATTTAAATCTTTAAATTAAAATATTTACAATGTGGATATATCTATTGAAGTCAATCTGACTAAGTGCTATACCCGCCATTAGTTTTAGACTGGGAATAAATTGAAACAACTTAACTTTAACTAATTTAAAAGTTTCTAACCCTGATAAATATATTGTAGAATTCATGTTATTTCTGACTAAACAATCCTTGAAGTGAGAGTAGAAGTGTGCCCGGGCCAAACCAACATATCTCGGGCAGGATCCCGGGACCAGCTAGACAATTACAGATTTATATTATTCTTCTTTAATTATTGTTTTTTGAAAGTATGTTTTTTAAAAGAACTAAGAAATTCGCCTCAAATTTTTAATTTTCCGATTCCTACATCTTTTCAATCTGATAATACGCGTGTATTCCTTGGATGTTTTAAACTTATTTGATCTAGCAGAATATAAAGTTTGATTTTTAAAAATAAAATCTAAAACGACAACTCTGACCAGACTTAATAAATAGCAAGACATAATTGAGCCCCGTAGACATAGTTAAACCATTTCTGTGTGTGTCAGGTCAAGCGAAGAGAAGTGGACAAATGGTTTAACTTAGTCGATCTACGAGGTTCAACTATGTGTTGCACTCCAGTTCAACTGAACCGTGGTCGAAAAGACGGGACTCGAAAATTGGAGTTTTAAAAGAGTAATCAGACGAAAATGAGACGAAAATGATAAAAAAGACCTGTCTTCGTCCTTATGAAGGACTGAGAGTAGAAGAGCTCTGGATCTAACCGTATCCCAGGGAACTATTCTATGATCCAGGTCAACTGAGTTTACTAGAGATGTGTTGATGATCATGGTTAATCTCATCTAGAATAATTTAATATGAGCCAGGTCAACTGAGTTTACTAGAGATGTGTTTATGGTCATGGTTAATCTCATCTAGAATAATTTACTATTTATCTTGTATTAAATTCAAGTTTACAGAATTTCTTCACTTTGCTTAATTTCCCGAAAAATAACTGATTGCTTGCCACAATCTTTAATTTTTAATCCTTGTATTGTTTTCACCTTGATGTCCTAAATCTTTGATATTTCAAACTAAGATTCTGCCAGATCAAATATTTAAAGTTTGATATATCAAGATCTCGCCATCAGGTTGCAAAGATACAGGGATTAGGACAGAGAGTTTGTGGCATTGGATTAATTTAGCATAAATAATTCTAATTCTGTAAAAAAAATCTTAAAACTAAAAAAAAACCAAAATCAACAACATACTTTAGTTATTAATATTCAACGAAATAAGTCAAATTATAATTATTGATTTCAAAATTTGGCTTAACTCGAGAAAGATTAAAAGCCTCGAAATGTTTAAAATTGGAATTTGTATAAAAAAACTGCACAGTCCCTTCACGTTAAAATGATTTATTTTCTGTAAAACCCATTCTCACTTTTAATTTAATTTAAATCTGATTTATAATGTTTTCAATTCTTTAAATATCAATACATTTTTTTTGATGGTGAAAGAAAGTCATTCAAATAATACCTTCTCGTCATTACCAAGAGGAAACCCTTCTACTTGACCTCTTATCCCTAGGTTTCCCTCCAGGCACAATCCTTCAGGTCTATACCTAGAGAAGGTCTAGGTTTAGATCAATACCTAGAGAATGGTTTTTGTAGACCTATTGGATTACGTTTAAACCCAAAGAAGGGTAGTTTTAGATCTTCGTTTACAGAAAGGTATAGGTTTAGAAGTACAACCTTTTAGGTCTAGAAATGAGTAGGTATGATTTGTAAGTTTAGGTCTAAACCTAGAGAAAGTAGTCTTAAGAACATAACTCTTCAGATCCATACTTAGAGAAGTATAGGTTTAGACAAGTATATATGTTTAGACACGCAACCCTTTAGTTCTATGCATAAAGAAGGATAGGTTCAATTTATAATCCTGTATGAAACAATATTATGAATTATATTATAAAATGTCGTCTTAATTTTGTCCAACCTGAAGTTTCCTAGGAACATGTTACAGCAATCTTGACCTCGTAGTATCTGTTTACTAGAAACCTGACAGGCCCTCACAACCTGGAACATATTGTTAGATATGCTAAATATAATGATAGCCATATTTAATAAGCATAGAGAAACGTATGGTGTTGGAAAAGAATATGAAAGTTTTGAAAATTATCCTGATTTGCAGATCTATATTAAATATATAAATTAGTTGAAATAAGTAATCAAGAAATATAAAAAAAAAATTTTACTGTTAAAATTGTAAACTAACCTTAGGACAGGTTGGAGATAAACTAACCTCAGAACAGGATGGAGCTAAACTAACCTCAGGACAGGGTGGAGATAAACTAACCTCAGGACAGGATAGAGCTAAACTAACCTCAGGAAGGGTGGAGATAAACTAACCTCAGGACAGGGTGGAGATAAAATAACCTCAGGATAGGTTGGAGCTAAACTAACCTCAGGACAGAATGGAACTAAACTAACCTCAGGACAGGGTGGAGATAAACTAACCTCAGGACAGGATAGAGCTATAATAACCTCAGGACAGGATGGAGCTAAAATAACCTCAGGACAGGATAGAGCTAAACTAACCTCAGGACAGGATAGAGCTATATTAACCTCAGAACAGGTTAGAGCTATACTAACCTCAGGACAGGATGGAGCTAAAATAACCTCAGGACAGGATGGAGCTAAACTAACCTCAGGATAGGTTGCAGATAAACTAACCTCAGGACAGGATGGAGCTAAACTAACCACAGGACAGGTTGGAGCTAAACTAACCTCGGGACAGGTTGGACCTAAACTAACCTCAGGACAGGGTGGAGCTATACTAACCACAGGACAGGTTGGAGCTAAACTGACCTCAGGACAGGTTGGAGCTAAACTGACCTCAGGATAGGTTGGAGCTAAACTAACCACAGGACAGGTTGGAGCTAAACTAACCTCAGGAAAGGCTGGAGCTAAACTAACCTCAGGATAGGTTGGAGCTAAACTAACCTCAGGACAGGTAGGAGCTGCGGATCGGAGAAGTCTTCTGAGGGGTTCTCTCTCAACCTTCTCTCCTCCTCGTTTCTTCCGTCCTTCCAGCACACGGTACTAAACCAAGAAGTCATCATGAAACTGTGGAGTATTCATTAGTACAGAATAGCCGTTTTGGCAACGCCACGCGCGTGCATTTTATTTAGTTATTGATGATAAAGGAATGACTTTAACTACTGTCTGTGTCCGACGCATTGGAACTAGAAGAGAAAAACTAACCAGTGAAATCTACAAGAATATTCATGAATATGTTTTAACTACAGTGGTAGTCGTATATATCTATGTAGTGAAGACGACTTTCTTTTTCTTTTTCAACTTTCTACCAATCTGTCAAACAGCAGAAACACAGCTTCTATTTGTTTACTAGTAAACTTGCAATTTGAAAAATGCTTGTTAAGAATCAAAGCATTAAATAAATAAAAAGTCGTCATCTTTGTATTGATATAATCTTAGACCACTGTACCATAATAAAGGGGGGGGGGTTCTCCAACCTGTTTAGTGAGTTCTGTGAGCAGATCCTTGTTCTCTAGTATCTCCGGGTTAGGGTTGAGAGGAGAGAGGGTGAAGAGAAGAAAAGAAGCAAGCTGCGGAGATATACCAGCACTCATGGTTAATCTCATCTAGAATAATTTAATATGATCCAGGTCAACTGATATCATTTCGAGGATAATATGAGGTTATATATCGACCCCTAAACATTATATATATCATTCGCGGGTAGTAGGAGGTTATGTATCGACCCCTAAACAGTATCTAGACCATCTAGAGGGTAGTAGGAGGTTATGTATCGACCCCTAAATATTATATAGACCATGTAGAGGATAGAAGGAGGTTATGTATTGACCCCTAAACAGTATCTAGATCATTTAGAGGGTAGTAGGAGTTTATGTATCGACACCCCTAAACAGTATCTAGACCATCTAGAGGGTAGTAGGAGGTTATGTATCGACCCCTAAATATTATATAGACCATTTAGAGGGTAGAAGGAGGTTATGTATCGACCACTTAACAGTATCTTAACCATTTAGAGGGTAGTAGGAGGTTATGTATCGACACCTAAACAGTATCTTAACCATTTAGAGGGTAGTAAAAGGTTATGTATCGACCACTTAACAGTATCTAGATTATTTCGAGGATAATAAGAGGCTGTGTATCGTCCCCTGAACAGTATATAGATTATTTCGAGGATAATAAGAGGCTGTGTATCGTCCCCTGAACAGTATATAGATTATTTTGTGGATAAAAAGAGGATATGTTTTGACCCTAGAAAATTATCTTAATCATTTCGAGGATAATATGAGAATATGTTTTGCCCCCTAAACATTAGATTATTTTGAGGATAATAGGAGGTTATGTATCGAACCCTGAACAATATCAGGATCATATCGAGGATAATATCGAGGATAATAGGAGGTTATGTATCGAACCCTGAACAATATCAGGATCATATCGAGGATAATATCGAGGATAATAGGAGGTTATGTATCGAACCCTGAACAATATCAGGATCATATCGAGGATTATTTCGAGGATAATAGGAGGTTATGTATCGAACCCTGAACAATATCAGGATCATATCGAGGATAATATCGAGGATAATAGGAGGTTATGTATCGAACCCTGAACAATATCTGGTTCATTTCGGGGATAATATGATGTTATATATTGACCACTAAATATTATCAAGATCATTTCAACTAATGATAAATACAAAATAAAAATAAAACTAATTTTTGTGTAAATACAGGGGAACCTACAAAAGAAAAAATTTAAATGTCGACTTCAAACTATTAAAGTTTAGCAATCTGAATGTTGAATTTGGTCTTATGTCGTTGTTATACATTTTTAAAAGTTCGTTTGCTAGCAACCAAGAATTCAGGCGAGTTCATCTCTTAGCATCATCTTGTACAGGTAACTTTTGTATAATATATAGATAGAAAGAAAAAATATTTGAATTATTAAAATTTATATAAATTGGCTCCAAAGTTGGCATTGATATGCATTGATATTTTAAGGTCAAAAGCATAAATTCTGCCAAATCATTGAATTTATCACTAAAACCTCTTCCTGTTGCTATAGAGCCAATTTTTCAAAAATAAAGAAAATATTTTAAATTCTGTTTCCTTTCGGGAAAAGTGTTTGTTAATACTGTATCTTTGCAATTGGAAACTGTTTATAAGAAACTGGTTACACGCCTCAAACTCTAATTATTCTTGCAACCAGAGCTGTCATACGCCTATGATATCATAAGTATATGAACCCTACTTAAACCAGACCAAATGGTAAAATGTTTACACCTTCGGGTTGAAACTTGCCAAATTATACGGATGAGATAAAAAGAGTGTGAAATAAATGTCTTTTTAATCAGCATTATAATAAAAAAGAACATCAGAGGACTCTTCTCTCGTCCAATTAAAATGAGTTTTTGACACAAACTCTAATTTTTCAATCCCTATATCTTTACAATATTTTATTATTTCAAATTATAAATTCTGTTAGATCAAATATTCTAGATTTGAAATACTAAGGTTTACATTATCAGGTTGCAGAGATATATGAATTAAACCATTTTAGTTTGTGGCAAAGACTCAATTCCTTTGCAGTTGTAAATCATATTTCTCTCAACTGGGAAAATGTAAGTTATTAAATACTCTTCATGCTTGACACACTTTAATGCTTTTAATCTAATTTTATTACTCTATTTTTTGCTTGAAGGTTAAAGTAAATAGAATCTAAATTAACATTTAATGAATAAAATATTCCAATTTCTCTCACCGAAAAATTGAGTGCCGGGTGTTTTGAGTGCACAATTGCACTCTGCACTTTACAATCGAGTAATCAAGGATCAGACAAGCTCAAAGGTACAGTTAAGAATGCACACTACAAATGGAAGTTCAAGTCCGTGAAGGTGGATTAGGTTGAGTTCAAGTATTTGATAAATTAGAAGTCTGCTCTGCACATTGCCCCGTTTAATTATCCCTTGCTCCGAGACTCTGATAGAAATTAGCTTGTCATGGTGGTTTGTCACAATTATAATCTATTTTATTAATATCAATTAAAACCTGATTTTTTTAATATTGATTGCAAAAATAGACATTTTTTCGTTTCCGACTTCTGGGCCCACTTCTCCCCTTACATAAAATCTTTCCTTAGTCGGTCCCAACCGTAGCGCTCCCAATTTAGCCTAAAAAGTTATATTGCTAGGATTACCCCCCCCCCACAATTTTTTTTTATAAGTTCACGGGGGTCGATAGCGTCTGTTGTGGCACATGCTTAAAACTATAGCGGAATTACATTTCGAGTGAAACCATTTAGAAAGAAGAACAAAAAGCCTAAAATATTGTTCAATTAATCCCTCCCTCCAACAGTACCTGTAGTGGTGAGGAGAGGTAGAGAGAAGAAAGACGACTAGGGTTAGTATAATAGCTGCTACCCCAAGGTATAGAGAGGAGCAGCAAGCATCCCTCCAGGAGCATCTTCGGCTGCTCTCCTCTACAACAACGCTCTCCCGATCCTTCAAACGGAAACTAAAATTTCGAGGATCATAGTTTGCTTGGAGGTCTCCTGTTGGTGCTGGAGCTCTGACGAAGGTTCCATGAGACACTGGTTTTACAAGATGGGATATATCTTTATAAACCACAGAACCTTTATCCAATCCGTCCTTGGAATCTCGTCTCCGCTCCGAAGAATATTCCGGATCAATGTCTTTACCGGAGAAAAGTCGACTGTGTGTTCTCCGATCGGATATATCCGGATCCCGGTGTAAATTTTTACGACTGCTGCTGCTAGATCCCTTTCTTTGGCTCACATTTTCCGAACTGTTAGAGTTAGATCTGCTTTTGAGATTTGGGGATCCAGGACGGGGATTATATTTGGTGTTCTCTACTCCGAGTCTTAGATCCATCCCGTATCTGATATCCGTCCCGGGTCTGAAATCCGTTCCTTGTCTTGTCTCCAAACCATGTCTGATATCAGAACCATGTCTAGCGTCTGGTAATCCATGTCTGGAATCTTCAATACGTCTGTTATCTTGTACGTGCCTAGTGTCTGGTAAGTGTCTGGTGTCTTGAATGTGTCTGATGTCTATATTTTGTCTGATATCCACCAGACTATCTCCATATATATCGCTGGTTTCTCCAAACTCGTATCTACTTCACCATGGATTCTCAATCAACGTTTATTTATTTAAATTATTTTTCAATTTATTTTCTTTAGAAATTATTTAATTGTTGAACGTTAAATGATGAACCTGATTGTATCTCTGTCATACTGTCTCTGCTTTGAGGAGGTAACACTATTGAAACAATGTTTTTATTTTTTTTGTCCAATTAATCCAGAAACATTAAATTAGAAAAAGTATCGGATATCTTTTCACGTTCTTAAAGAGCTGACATTTGATAAAATATTGTTCCTAAGTCTCCGATCCCCCATTATCTCTGGATATGAAGGGCTAGCAGGATGACCCTGAGCAATATATGATCTATCCGTCTTAGGACCCGGAGCACCCTCTTCGGGAACCGTCCTGATCCGAAGGGATGGAAAGAATTCTCCGTCCTCCTCTCTATCCTGCTGAGTGTTACTGAAGAATAAAATAAAATAATGGATTTAATTCAGGAGTATCATCAGTAATATAAAAATTAGATAAGTACTTTTTATTGCTTTTTGTTTTTGTTGCTTTTTCCAGACATGTTCAAGAAGATATCTTTCCTAATATTCTAGACATTTATTAATTCAATCCTTTCCTAATATTCTAGACATCTATTAATTCAATTCTTTCCTCACATTCTAGGCATTTCTTAATTTAATCCTTTCCTCTCATTCTAGACATTTATTAATTCAATCCTTATCTCACATTCATAAGTATTTCTTAATTTAATCCTTTCCTCTCATTCTAGATATTTATTAATTAAATTTTTTTCTCACATTCTAGAAATTTATCAATTTAATAGTTCATTTACGCATAATGGTGTGCAAATCTTTGAGATTTTCTGAATTTCAAGTTTTCATTTTATTTATAATTCATTCTAGCATTCATCCGTTCATTCACAAACACCCCAGACCACACTTATATTTGTTTTGGTTGTATGTTGAGGTCTTTTTTTTATTAAATATTTGATTATTTGAAATATAACATAAAGGGATTAGAAACGTTGACTTTGTACGTGGCAAAGACTCAATCCTCTTCACAAAAACATAATTTCTTTTTCTAAAAGTAAGATACCTTATTTTTAGATTTCTGGCTTTTTGGTTTCGACTTCTCTTTATTATTATTGTCTATGTCCTGGAGTGCACTATTGTACAACTGTAGATAGAAGAGCTGTGTGAGTTTATCCTCTCCGACCTGTACAGAACAAAGTTAGAAACAGTAGAGTACATCTAGGATTTATTACCGTGTAAAAACATACATATATACAAGATTAACATATCAAAAACATACATATATACAAGATTAACATATCAAAAAATACATGTATACAAGATTAAAATATCAAAAACATACATGTATACAAGATTAACATATCAAAAACATACGTGTATACAAGATTAACATATCAAAAACATATATATATATATATACACACAAGATTAACATATCAAAAACATACATGTATACAAGATTAACATATCAAAAACGTACATGTATACAAGATTAACATATCAAAATCATACATATATACAAGATTAACATATCAAAAACACACATATATACAAGATTAACATATCAAAAACATACATATATTCAAGATTAACATATCAGAAACATACATATATACAAGATTAACATATCAAAAACATACATATATACAAGATTAACATATCAAAAACATACATATATTCAAGATTAACATATCAGAAACATACATATATACAAGATTAACATATCAAAAACATACATATATACACGATTAACATATCAAAAACATACATATAGACAAGATTAACATATCAAGAATTAAATTCTTAAGTTGTGTTGATACAAAAATAATAAACGAATAAAGCTTGTCGAAAATAAACAAAATTAGCATATTAAAAATTAAATCAAGGTTTGTAAACATAAAGATGATAAAAAATAAACAACGAGTTGCAAATGCACGGTACTGGACACTGAACAGGGATTAACAATAATTCTAAGGTTCACTTTTATAATAATTTTATATTTTAGACTTTCTTTTTGTGGAAAAATAATTTTATAGTTAAAAACGCAATAGAAAAATAAAATCAATATTAGAAAATCCAAAACCTCTCATCCAAATATCAAATTGTTTGTTTTAAAATGGTAGAGTTTGGTAGAGTTTAAACATACTGGTTTTGTTAATTATGTACATTTGAAATACGAGGGAGGGGCTGCATAGCTGCCTTGGACCCCGCTAAACTAAGTACGAAACCCAGGGCATGAACTTATACAAACCCTGGATAGAAAACTTTGATATGATTCAATAGATTTTGAATCCTAAATTTGGGCAATCTTATTGCGAAAACTTTTGATATTTTAAACTTTAACAATTTGATCTGGCAGAATTCATGGTTTGAAATTCCAGAGGTCCATGACATACGGTTGCAAAGATATACGGATTAGAAAATTTGTGCAGCGAGTGTTCAGTCCTTTCAGATATTCCTTCACCTACAAACAAATTTTTAATCAAGATTGTAAAAAAATATACTAAAAAAGTTATACCCTTTTATCCTGCTAGTGTTATTTTGCGAAAATCAAAATGAACTTAACCCTATTCCCGCTGGGGGGGGGGGGTCAATTTGACTAATTTTCGCAAATTTGCAGATTCTAAAAGTAGAGCACAAGAGCTTTCTAATGATGTATCATTTGTCATATTTGGACATAAAACATGGGATTTAGAGGGGGGGTCAAATTGACCCCCCCCCAGCGTATCCTGGTTTTCAAGTACCCCAGCAGGGATAGGGTTAAAATCAAAATTTAGTTCTTAATTTCAGGTATCATTAAGTTTATTGAATCAGAGAAGTTTGCACATAAAGATATACGGGGTTTATTGCGGCTATCCAACCCCTCCCTCGATACATACCTGGAGATAAGGAGATGAATCCGTCCCATCCAGCCTTCTAAATATGTAGTGAAAGGTTATTTAATACACGCTGAACTGAACACCGGTCTCAAATTCTGTATATCTTCAGAAAAAATACTATAAAACTGTGTTGAGAGAAAACTAATTGCTGATCAAGGTAGAACAATAATGTTTATAGATCTGTTTGTCGTAAAATGTATAATATTAAGTTTCGGTTTGGTTAATCTGCATATTTAATGACATTTGTGCAGATATTTTATCTTTATATTTAACAAAAAAAGGAAGAAGGAAACATTTACAATAGTTCTGCAGCTGACTACAATTTAAGAATGCATTTAATGCATCAGGTCAAAGTTGATAAGAAATGCATGTGAACTTTCTTGGAAATGCATTTAAATCCTAGTTGCTGTTATGTGAACCTTGCATGTGCGACTAACAATGGTAAATTAAATTCAAATATCTATCTGTATATAGATAATAAAATAGATTAATCTAAATAAAACACATACCTAGCAAATATCTGACTGACCGAAGGCCGTTTGTTTCAATTTTAAATGATTTTTTCTTTACAAAAACACGTTTAGAAAACTTTGCTTAAGACTCAGACTAAATCTTAATTATTTCTCTCCCCTGAATTCTTTTCAACATCTTTGCATTATTCCTGAAAACATTGATGAATGCTATATTTTCAGCCTGTATAGATTTTTTATATATATTTTCAGCCTTTATAGAAGTTTGTTTTTTATATTTTCAGCCTGAATAGAAGTTTTTTAAAAATATTTTCAGTCTGTATAACAGATTTTTTATAATTTCACTTTGTAAAGAAGTTTTTTTTTTATATTTTCAGCCTTAATAGAATTTTTTGTATATTTTCACCCTGTAAAGAATTTTTTATATTTTCACCTGGAATTGAAGTTCGTTTTTAATATTTTCAATCTGAATAAAATTTTTTTATAACTTGACCCTGTATAAAGTTCTTTTTGTTTTTATTAATTCTAGATTTAATTTCCTAGCTCTAACTTTACTTCTGAAACTTGATCACAGGTTACAAAAACCACAAAATTTTTCTCCTTCAGCTAACTTGAGATTCGGTTTTATACCAGAGCTCCAGAACTAAACTTTCATCAGGATAAAAAACTTATTCCTAAGTTCAGAAATTGAAAAAAATATATTTTTAGGCGAGATAATTATTCATTTCTTAAATTTTCATACTTCTCACGGTTTTGATTTTATTTGCGTGTCAAAAAATTTCAAGGTGGCCCAAGACGAGAAAATGAAGAGAATGTGGCTCGGACGAGAAATTTTTGTGGTTGGCCTTCCTCCCCTCGTTGTATAAAATGTTTGCTTTCATTGTGCTTTTTAAAATGTTATCTCTGTAATGAGATGATGGGATACAAGCTTGAACGAAGCAAAATCAATCCTTCCAGTTTTTAGACATTTTATAAGTTCTTGGATGCTTGTTCAGGCTTTTTGAAAGTGCTAACAATGTCCGAGAACCTAAACTTTTAAAATAATTTATTTACTGTTTTTATTTTTATTCTATTAGTAACATGATATTGAACCCACAGAGATAAAATAATCCTTGAATTTTTATAAATTTAAATAATGTTAATTTACATTCGTCTAAGATTAGAATGTGAAGGTCAATATTTTATATAAGAGACTACTCACTCGATTTTGAATTAGTTGATAATAAAGAGAAATTTAGAATCGGTTGCATTCCGATTAACAATTGAATTCTCTTCTAAAACAACCAAAGTATCGGGATTCGAAATATTTTTTAATAAAAAAAGCAGAAAATTCTAATAATTTTTGAGTTTTAGAATTTGAAAAAATTATTATTATCACATTTGATTGACAAAAGATCATAATATCGATATGAAACTTTTTTGAAATTTGAGTTGATGAAATTTCTAATCTTAAAAGCAAAAGCCTCAAGCATTATTGCTTTGACTACTTTTTATACAGCATGTCTCTTTACTCTATTTTACACCCTGCTCAATTTTTAACAAATTATAAAGCTCTTTGATAAAATCTTGGAATTTAGAATATTTTGACACACAATTCACGAAAAACCAAGCAAAGTATCAGGAATCCAAAAAAAGGAATTCAAATTTTGAATCCCTATATCTTTGCACCATGATGATGTTAACCTTAGATATCTCAAACTTTGATTTTCTGATTTAACAGAATTCATAGTTTGAAGCATCGAAGGTTTACGGCATTAGGGATAAGAAAATAGGAGTTTTTGAAAAAGACTCAATTACTTTAAAAGAGAACAGAGGATGATCAAGCCTGGGAGTCTTGATATTTTTCCCTTTAAATGCAAAAATTAAACAGATATTTTTACTGGTGCACTTAAAGACCCCTTTCTAGATGTATACACGTCTTCACTTTTTTTAGCTCTATTCGGATCCAATCATTACTAAGTTTTACAGTGACCTAAATAGTATTATGAACACAAAAACAACCTTAAAAATAACTATAGATTCACATGTGCATCACCGCATACTATACGCAACTGAAATAAATTATTATCATAATAATTTATTTTCAACCTGCAGAGTAAGTGTGACCCTGTATGTTTATGTGTAAAATCATGCAACTGGAAACAAATTCATCCTTACTCTCTCATCCCATTACTTCCGGATTCCTAGATCAAAAAATACAAAAAGTTTTTGTCAATTATTTTGTTTTCTCTCTTACATTTACTCCAAAACTTTTATTTAAAACTTTTGAAAACCTTGATATAGCTATGTTTAATATTAGGTAATTTCGGAAATTTCTTCTTAAGGAATTGAGTCTTTGCCACAATCTTTGGATTCCGATGTCGTAGACCTTAGATATTTCAAACTATGTATTCTGTTAGATCAAATGATAGAAATTTGAAATATCAAAGATTTACGACATTGGGTTCTAAAGATATTTGAATTATAAATTCAGAGTTTGTGGCAAAGACTCAATTCCTTTAGGATTTTTAAGAATTGTCAAAATCTTTCCTTTATTATTAAACATATTATAGCAGTATTGTTTTAAATATATATCTGTCCTTAAAACCTTTCTTTTTGGAGATTGCCAGATTTGAATCCTAGTATTTTATAAACGATTCTCATTTTTTTAATGCTTGAGTGTTTTGTTGTATACCTTATGTGTTTGTATTTTCTATAATAAATTTAGAAAGTAAATGCCTAAAAACGTGATCAAAGATAACAGGATCAAATTTCATAATAATTCATATTGTGCTTTCCTCGGCTCAATTGTCTGGGAATAGAATTTAATCATCTAATTTTCAGAAGCAGACTTTTACTTATCTTTCTGGACGAGGTCAAAAAAAATTTTTAGTTAAAAAACATGTTTACACGAAAAAAAAACGGTTTTATTATGAATACGTTGTTTTGATGCTATGCTAAATATTAGGCTTCCCAAACCTCTTGTAATCCTAAGTTATCAAATGTAAACGTTTACCTATAATAAGTTTTATTTTATACAATTTGATATAATTACATTTAGCTAATTTTACCGGGAGTAAATATAATTACCATGAATTTTAATTAATATTTATGAGTGCATTTATAGAATACCCGTCAAGACAAATGGAGGAAAATGTACGCTAGATTGTGACGTATGTATTTAGGTTAATCAACTACACTGATCATTGTTATTAGGTGCAGTACGTGGAAAAGGGATTTGAAAATAAACCAAAATTTCGCTGAGGGGGGGGGGGATTTTATTCATGGACTATTTGGGTTAAAATCATACATGATAAAATGGTAAATGAAGACAACTTCTCATAAATATACAGTGCTCCCCAAAATAAATTGGTAAGTATTGGCGACTTTTCAAAATATCCAGTGCTCTCCAAAATAATATGGAAAATGAAGACGACTTCTTATAAATATTCAGTGCTCCCCCCAAAAAATATAGTAGGAATAGACGACTTCTCTTAAATATTAAGTGCTCTCCAAAATAAAGTGGAAAATAAAGACGACTTGTATTAAATAAACAGTGCTTCCCAAAATTGAATGGTAAAGATTGGAGGCTTTTGATAAATATACGGTAATAAAAGGGTGATGTTAAGACGACTTTTCTTTAATATGCAATCTATTTTTCAAGAAGCACTGTATATTTATGAAAAGTCATCATCACTTACCATATTATTTTGAGGAGCTCTTTATATTTATTAGCAGTCGTCTATGCTTACCATATCATTTTGGGGAGCACTGAATATTTCTGAGAAGTCGTCTATGCTTACCATCTTATTTTGGGGAGCACTGTATATTTATAAGAAGTTTTCAATGCTTGTTATTTTATTTAGGGAAGTACTGTATATTTTAAGAAGTCGCCAATGCTTACCATTTTATTTTGGGGAGCACTGTATATTTATGAGAAGTTGTCTTCATTTACCATTTTATCATGTATGATTAAGGTGAAGAAAAAGTTACAATTCTTTTTATAACCCAAATAGTCCATCAATAAAATCACCCCCCCCCCCCTCCACGAAATTTTGGTTTATTTTCAAATCCCTTTTCCACGTACTGCACCTAATAACAATGATCTGTGTAGTTGATTAACCTAAATACATACGTCACAATCTAGCGTACATTTTCCTCCATTTGTCTTGACGGGATAGAATATACGATGGTAGGTTATTATATCAATATAATGAAGACGACTTCTTTATTGCAGTTATAATTGTTAACACGCTTTTTTCGAATTACACAAAGAAAAGAGAAGCTTTTTAAACTGCCAGCTTCTCTTTGTTTCCATGTTTTTGTGTATCCATGAAATGATATGATATGATATGAATTGAAATCGAAAGTTGTCTCCATTAAATTGATATACCACTGTTGTATATTCGGAGGAAGGTCCAAACATCTTTATAAGTTCTGGGACTACTGGAACTACTGCAATTACTTGTTCTAAAAAATATTCTAAATTCTAGACGAGAAGTGTCAAATGATTGACATAGCATGCTGCATGCTTGAATTCAAAACGAGAAGTGTCAAATGATTGACATAGCATGCTGCATGCTTGATTTCTAGACGAGAAGTGTCAAATGATTGACAGAGCATGCTGCATGCTTGAATTCTAAACTAGAAGTGTCAAATGATTGATAGAGCATGCTGCATGCTGGAATTCTAAACGAGAAGTGTCAAATGATTGATAGAGCATGCTGCATGCTTGAGTTCTAGACGAGAAGTGTCAAATGATTGATAGAGCATGCTGCATGCTTGAATTTTAGACAAAAAGTGTCAAATGATTGACATAACATGCTGCATGCTTTAATTTTAGACAAAAAGTGTCAAATGATTGACAGAGCATACTTCATGCTTTAATTTTAGACAAGAAGTGTCAAATGATTGACATAACATGCTGCATGCTTTAATTCTAAACGAGAAGTGTAAAATGATTGAAAAGGCATGCTGCATGCTTGATTTCTAGACGAGAAGTGTCCAATGATTGACATAGCATGCTGCATGCTTGAATTTTAGACAAGAAGTGTCAAATGATTGACAGAGCATACTTCATGCTTTAATTTTAGACAAGAAGTGTCAAATGATTGACAGAGCATACTTCATGCTTTAATTCTAGACAAGAAGTGTCAAATGATTGACATAACATGCTGCATGCTTGAATTCTAGATGAGTAGTATTGAATGCATTAAGAAATATTGGTAAAGACATACACTCCAGAAAACATAAGCCTGGTAGAATTCAAAGATGAAATGATCAAGGGACTGAATGATGAAGAGTTGAAGGAAACATGCAGTTTTTTTATGCCGGAGAAACCACAACAGGAAATAGAGATAAAGCAATATTAGATCGCCAACTATCTTCAAATATATATCTTTGATAGCTACGCTTGTGTCCTTGTGTGAAATTTAGAGCTGATGGGATTGTGCCTTGAGATTTGGCATTGATCGACCAAGAGCTTGTTTTTTAGCTACGCTTGTGGCCGCATGGACATTCAGAGCCGATAAGACCGTGTTTGACATTGATCGCTGAAGAGTTTGTGTCCTAGTTGACATTTATAGCTGACGGGTTGTACCTGGAATGATACAGTTCGGGACGAACTTTTTAGAGTACAGCATTTACTACATGCTCCATGCTTAAATTCTGGATGAGATGTATTGGATGATTGATTATTAAGTTAGACTGCATGCTTGAATGAACACCAGGGGTTAATTTTATTAAACCACTTGAACTGAACAATATGATAAATACACAAGAGTGTCCTATTCTAGACAATAATACAGGGTTCTTCAAAATGTATGGAATGTAAAAAAAATCACAGAAACTCTAACAATTGTCTCAAAGATGAAAATATATATAAAAACCTTACGTGAAATGCTAAAATGAAAATGGAAAGTGTGGCACTTTTCATTTCTTTTGATGACTTTTGCTTCTTTAATTAAACCATCCGTATTTACTGTTAATCTAAAAAATAATTCGCAATAAAGGAACTGTAAGCGTGATTTCAAGTGACCCCTCATACACACATGGCAAGGCCCAATTTACAACGGTACCCTTGAAACATTTTTATGGCCAATAATATTGAAGATATCGTCATTTTTTCTAGGTCTAAGAGTTTTTATTTTTGAAGAAATGCGCAAGTTTTGTAGAGAAATCACATTTGAAAATAATTAGTTTAAAATCATAAACATTGATATTTAATTCATACTTGATCAGACAAAGCTTTTTAGAGTACCGTTGTGAATCGGGCATTGCCTTCTGTGCGTGGAAATTACATTTCCAGTCCTTTTAAATAGTATATATATATATTATAGAGAAGACTGTATTGAAGCTTTCTATTTAGTCTTTTGGTTGGATCGCAGATTTGAATTTCTCTATAACATCAAATCAAATCAAATTATATACTTAGCCATAAATAAAACATGTAAAATTGGATATTTATAATTACATTAGTTGATTGCAGTTTATGGCAAGGAGACGGAACTAGTCGAAACTGTTTTCAGTCGGTCTCCTTTACAGACAGTCTCCTTTACAGACAGTCTCCTTAACAGTCAGTCTACTTTACAGTCAGTCTCTTTTACAGTCAGTCTCCTTTACAGTTGGTCTCCTTTACAGTCAGTCTCCTTTACAGTTAGTCTACTTTACAGTCGGTCTCCTTTACAGTCAGTCTACTTACAGTTGGTCTCCTTTACAGTCAGTCTCCTTTACAGTTAGTCTACTTTACAGTCGGTCTCCTTTACAGTCAGTCTACTTTACAGTCGGTCTCCTTTACAATGGGTCTCCTTTACAGTCAGTCTCCTTTACAGTTGGTCTCCCTTACAGTCGGTCTACTTTACAGTCAGTCTCCTTTACAGTCAGTCTCCTTTACAGTCGGTCTCCTTTACAGTCGATCTCCTTTACAGTCAGTCTACTTTACAGTCGGTCTCCTTTACAGTCAGTCTCCTTTACAGTTGGTCTCCTTTACAGTCAGTCTACTTTACAGTCGGTCTCCTTTACAGTCAGTCTCCTTTACAGTTGGTCTCCTTTACAGTCAGTCTACTTTACAGTCGGTCTCCATTACAGTCGGTCTCCTTTACATACAGTCAGTCTTTTAATCAAAAATTTAACTTTAAAAGTTTCACAAAAATTAGATTTAGAAAGGCCTGCCCTGTGGCTAAAAATTAGCATTTAAAATAAATGATATGATTTCTGGCTAAAAAGATCCGCAGGCTGGTCAAACGAGAAACAAAACTATAATTGAGAATTAATTAAGTATTTGAGCAACTGAAACAATAAAGTTTATCACATCTAAAGTCCGAATATTTATCAAGCTTAAAGTTCAAACCCGAGCTTAATCTCAATTTGTTTAATATTAGGATCAAAATCATTTCATAGCAAAGGAAAGCTTTTGAAAAACTTATTTTAAGAAATCGTTACGGAGCCTTGGTAGAAAAAAATCATCAACATTTCTGAGTGGATCCGGGTGATCCGTTAAGGCTGAATTTTCTAAAAAAAACATCGTTATCAATAATAGAATATTTATGATCTATAAAATGCATAATTAATAATTACTGTTGAATTATTAAGTCAAGATGAGGCAGAATATCTAATGAGGAAAATAAAGGTTGAGAGTGAGAATTCTACGAAGCTTTAGAAATTATGCGTACGCATTTTTTTTGAAGTTTTTTTGTGATAATCAAAATATTTTCATAAAAATATATGCCGAGCATTTTAAAAGCTGGTTATGCTTTGGAAATGTTTGAAATACGTTCATTAGGAAAATTCTGGTTAAATCAGGACTTGAGTTGAAATGATTATTATAAAAATAAAATTGAAAATCAGGAACGGATATTTGCTTTGTATGATTTGTAAACATAAACAAGTTAATGTGTGTAATATAGAGTACAGTAATCAGAGTTTGTGGCAAAATCTCAATTCATTTTGAAATATTTTCGGTGAGTTTTTTTTCTGACGGTAATATTTCAAATTACTTCTTCTAAAGTTCATATTTATAAATCTTAAAGGGAATATAAGTGTCACAGATCTTTGATACTCAAACTATGAATTCTGTTAGGTCTAAGTTGCAAAGATATAAGGATCAGACAACTTCTGTCTGTGGCAAGAACTTAGTTCCTTTCAGTAAGAATGAACAAACGACTTTGTTGCTAATGGTGTGTGTGTGTACTGTCACAACAACTTTGTTTAAATAGTGTAAAATGTAAAAATAATTAGCTCCTATGCAGTCTCATTAACTAAACTATATTAATGTCTGGATATTTCTGTTAATTAATTAAACTGATAAGACTGAGTGTATAAATGTTACTAAATTCCTTGTATAAATAATAGTCTACTACGACCTAGAGCAGTTAGCTGATCTACCAGCCAGAATAGACTCTAGATTTAACATTTAGTTTCGCCCAGTAATAATTCAAAGAATAAGTTTAATCAACAAAAAAATACAATGTGGAAATATTGCGGTCATTTAACAGGAAAAACTTTCAAACTATAAATTAAAAAAAAAACCATTATGATTTTAAGTTATATTTAGAAAGAAAAAATTTATTTCATTTTTGGAATAAAACGAGGTTTATTGTATTTTTTTTGAAAGTTTTAATTTAATCAGGTATTTTGGGGTTCATAGGAATAGTAATTGGCGGAGCTACTCTTATTGGTTATGATACTCTCTACAATTCACTTCTTATCAAGGTAAGATTAATACTTATTTGTTTATTCAAAAAATTGTTAAAAAGTCAAATTAAACTTAGTTCTTTACCATTAATTTGAGAAAAATTCAACCTAAAATAAAACCAAATAATGACAATAGTAGTACATGTTTATATTCAGTTTATGGTTGTCGCTCCTGGGTCAATGAGTTATGAGATGTGGTCTGAGCTACCCATGCCCATGTACATGAAGGTGTACTACTTCAACTGTACAAACCACATCGATGTTCAAGTAAATGGCGCAAAACCACTGTAAGTATAGAAATCATAGCTAAAACCTGTTTTTAATAATTTTCTTAAATTGCTCTGTATTTAGGCTGAAACAACTTGGTCCGTATGTTTTTCTGGAGAAGCACGAGAAAGTTAACATTTCTTTCAATGCTGATACAACAGTTGATTTTTACCAGATTAAAACCTGGTTCTTCCAAGAAGATTTGTCCAATGGAACTCTTGATGATGAAATATATACGCTGAACGTGATCGCTCTCTCAGCAGCAGAATCAACAAGATGGCCAAACAGTTTAGCGGAGAATGATTATCCTTTCCTTAGGTATGATTAACAACCCTAACCAAAATTGTACGATTGAAAATCAAGATAATGTGGGATTATTTTAGCTGAAAACAAACAGAAATTTATTTTTGTAATCTTTAGGATGTCAATGGACGGTGTTTTCCAATACACTGAACAGGAACTCTTCTTGAAGACAAACATCAGAAATATAACCTTCGATGGTATAGAGAGTGAGCTGCTAACTATGCTAGATGGAACTCCTATGGAGGGAGCTATACAGATGCCCTTCGACAAGTTCGGTTGGTTCTACGGGGTAAGTTTCGTTGGTTCTACGGGGTAGGTTTAGTCAGTTCTATGGGGTAAGTTTAGTTGGTTCTACGGGTTAGGTTTAGTTAGTTCTACGGGGTAGGTTTAATTAGTTCTACGGGTTAGGTTTAGTTAGTTCTATGGGGTAGGTTTAGTTAGTTCTACGGGGTAGGTTTAGTTAGTTCTACGGGGTAGGTTTAGTTAGTTCTACGGAGTAGGTTTAGTTAGTTCTACGGGTTAGGTTTAGTTAGTTCTACGGGGTAAGTTTAGTAGGGAAGTTTAAGCTGGTTGTACATGGGAGAATTATTTGATTCAATGGGTTAGGTTCAGGATTGGTTTAAGAGGTTAGTTGGTTCTATAGGTTAGGTTTAATAAATCTTTGGGTTATGTTTCCGCAAAAATATTTAGACTAACAAAATTATGTTTTTAGAGAAATGGATCTGCAGAGTACGATGGACTTTTCCAAATGTGGACTGGTGAAGGAGATTTACAAAAGGTATATAATGATTAATGTTTCATTAATTATTAAAATTTCGTTTATTTGATTTCAGATGTCCACATACGTTGCTTCATTTTTTATTTTTAAAGAGCTTTTAATGCTGACATAAATTGTTTATCGGAAATTTTCTGTGTACATGCTTTGTATTTTTTTTTTGATTCAAAACATAATGCTTAACACAATTTTTCCGTTTAGGTTGGACAGATTACTGCCTGGAAGAATGAATCTGATCTATCTACATTGTATCCTAGTCCCTGTAGTGAACTCACAGGAAGCGCTGGAGAATTCTTCCCGCCAAACAGGTATTAGTCGATTTGTAGATGTCGTCTTTGAACTTCAACAAGACTTTGCGGCATTCATCAGGAAGAGTTTAATGTACGGGGACAGTTACATGTTTTTTTCTAACCCAAAAAGTTGAAGTATAACTTGTCATGTTTTAGACACATCAATTAATGATTTGTTTTAGGGATAAGACATCTGTTTCTTACTTTACTCCTGATCTGTGCCGAACCATCTTCTTCAACTTCCAGGATGAAACTGATGTAAACGGAATCTCAGGGTATAAATATGTACTGGATTCAGGGTTTGTAGGTAAACTATTCATTTTTTATCTTTAAATGGATTATCCAGTTTACCTTTCATTTTAAAGGAACTGTAAGCGTATTTTCAAGTGACCGTCCTTGCAAAGATGGCAATTCCCTATTCACAATAATGGCACCCTATAAAGCTTTTAAACCTAAAAAAGCAGCGACATCATCTTCCACATTATTGATCAGATAAAGGCTTCAAGGGTACCACTAGCTATGAATGGGACATAGCCATCTTTGCATGGAGGTCAGTTGAAATTACCGCCCCTTTAAAATTTAAATCGTGTATTCATAAAAATAGCCTTCAAACATATCTGAGTAACAATTGAACAACATTTTTTGATCCAAAATTAGAAAATTCTCACACTCTCCTTAAAATCATTGCTTTGCTTTCTAGAAATGTTTAAAAGGCTGTTTAAAGGGTACTGTTGGGAACTGTTTAAAGGGTACTGTTGGGAACTGTTTAAAGGGTACTGTTGGGAACTGTTTAAAGGGTACTGTTGGGAACTGTTTAAAGGGTACTGTTGGGAACTGTTTAAAGGGTACTGTTGGGAACTGTTTAAAGGGTACTGTTGGGAACTGGGGATAAATGCAGATATTGTAAAGCAAAGCTGATTCAAGAAGTATTGGACAGTGAATTCATGCCTAAAACAAATGCTTTATTCTTCAGATTTTTAGATAACGTTAATTTGCTCTTTCTTTTTAACAATGTCAGTCTTCAAACTTGAATTGTTCTTTTTTAAAGGCAATGGAACTTACAACACTTCCAACACCTGCTACAACCCTCACCCTGACCTACTACAACAACCTAAGGGTATGTCAGGAGAGGATATTGATGATATCCATCCTATCCTTGATCTAGTGAATATAGGATTATACAACGGTCTTCTGAACGCATCAGCTTGTAAGTTTAATGCACCAGCTTACGTTTCCTTCCCTCACTTCTACCTGGCAGATCCGGAGCTACTGGAACCATTCCACCCAGATTCAGATCTGTGGCCTAACCAGAAGCAGCACGAATCCTACATCTCCCTGATGCCAGCTCCGGGTATACCCCTGGATGTTGCAATCAGGATGCAGATCAACTTCCTAACCAGACCCCTGGAGTATATAACCCTGCTGCAGGATGTACCGACGATGAATTATCCGATGATCTGGTTTGAAACTACAACCGTTCTTACAGATGATATCATTGCTCAGCTGCAGTTGCTAGAGATTGCTACAAAGATGGGAAATATATTTGGAGGGATCAGTGTTGGTGTAGGAGCAGTGCTCGGGGCTCTTGGTTTAATTCTTTTCAGGAAAAGGAGCTCGTCACAATATGTGTAAACCTTCCCATTCTGTGTAAACCTTCACAATATGTTTAAACCTTCACAATATGTGTAAACATTCACAATATGTGCATATCTTCACAATTTAATAGTCCCTGGAATCTCAATATGTTTTGCATATTTGCAGGCTTAAGAAATTTGTAAATTAAATCTAATTGTAAATAATATTAAATATATCATACAAAGTGCTTATTATAAATAAACTATTATTTATAGATTTAACTATTTGTTAGCATGACCCAAACTTGAAAGGATGAATTGTGAATCATTATATTATGGTGATGCAATGAAACTCTTGAAAATACTTTTCTATATAATTTTCCTTTTCAGAAACATAAGTTAGAAATACTACAGAATTCTTTATTTTACTTTGCATATACAATTAGTTTTAACCTAAACTATTGCTTTAGTATTTTTTTTAATGCATATAGTCGGTTACACAGTGTAGGAAGCTTAGATTAGACCCTCCAGCCTTTTTATGTGGGTAAATAGCTCCCCCTCTCGTACTTTTCGAGAGTTAAAGATACGAAGAAAATGAGTCTTTGTCACAAACTCAAATATTCTAATCCCTATATCTTTACAACTTGATGACGTACACCTCTTTAATATTTCAAACTTAGATTATTTAAAATAATAAAATTAACAGTTTGAAAACTAATATATTTAGAATTTAATCATATTTACAATCAAATATTTACAATAATCACACAGGGGTACTTTAAACAAATTTATATTTTACTAATATTGATTCTTGACATTAATGGGACTATTCACTTCATTTCAAGCAATCATTCATTTAAAGAGTTTCATACCCGATTAACAACGGTACCATTTAAACCTTTGTATTAAGCAAAAATAGGTATCTTTGTTTTCTGTTCTAAAATAGATTATTTTCTATTGTGACTTCTCAATCAGATTAAGTGACTTGCGTACGTGTTTATACTGCAAACGACACCGAAGGAAATTGACATCATTTTCCGCGTTTTAAAGATAAATAGATTGATTGATAGAAAAGCAACATTATCTTTCTAATTTTTGATCAGATAAGGGGGTTACGAGTACCATTGTGAATCGGTCTTGCAACTCTGTTATAGGGGGGGGGGGGGCGGTGGATAACTAGATATTTAGTTCCTTTAAATATATATTTACAACCTAACATCAAGGGAATATCAAAAGAACGATTATATATAAATGTAATTATAAAGAACATTTTTTGTTCATCTTTTCATTCTTTTTCATTAATTCAGTAATTTTTAAAAATTCATTATTCTTCGGGTTTAAAACTTAATCTTATATTGCTTCATTTATGGTTAAAAAAGCCTTGATTTTGATTGAACTTTTTATGAATTTAATTTAAATTCTAATTTTGTCTCTTATTTCAAATTTGGTATTTGTTGAATTTAAATAACATATCAAATGTACTGTAGACTCTTTCCTCAAACTCTAATTTTCTAAATTCTATATCTTTGTAACCTAATTATATTTCAAACGGCGAATACTTTCTCTATTCAGTAGTGCAGTTTGAAACATCAAAAGACTACAACATTCAAAAATTAGTTTGAGACAAGTGTTCTGTTTCTTTAAAAACTATTCTAGTAGATATAATCTGAATTCATTGTTAGCAAAGACACATAGTTTTATTGTTTATATCACGTGGTTTATTTTGATGTATAGCTTGAATTTGTGTTTATTGGTATCCAAAACTTGTTTAAATAGTGACAAATTTTAAGTTTGCATTGATAATATTTCAATCTAAAACAGGTTTTTTTTTTAACTCGTTCTATTGTGCTAGATTTCTCGTCATGTCTGATTTGGAAAACATTGTAAAAAGTCTATTATCCAGGCTTGGGTTGCAAAACATCCAGGTTTGTTTTGATTTTGTGATGACGAATGTGATTAAATGGGACCATATTCTATTTGCCAAATCAAGCTCAGGACTCAAGTTTGGTTTCAATCTTTGGCTTCAGTTCAGAAGAATCCTCCACTGAAAAGTATAAATAACGTTAGAACAGTTTACCAGAAGAAAAATGTGTGTCGGTAAATGTCGTTTGTTTTTCTGAATCCAAGGAATTGAGTCTTTGCTACAAACTCAAATTTTCTAGTACCTATTATATCGTTACAACCTGATGATGTAAACCTTCGTTATCTGAAACTTAGATATAGGGATTAGAAAAATTTTCTCAATTTGTATGGCCGCTAAGTTATTCGGTATGAGACGTCTTTAACAATTTTCTCCTTATAGACGCAACATATAGAAGTAAGATTAGTAGCGATCAAAAGCGCTTTTTTATCGCATTAAGTCTATACCCCCTTTCATTTTTCGCAAACACTCCCTTTAAAGCTAATTTTTAATATGAATTGAGTATTTGCCACGAACTCAAGTTTTCTAATCCCTTTATCTTTGCAAGCTGATAGTTTTCTTTATATTTCAAACTTAGATTACTGATAGTTACAGACGAAAACTTTAATTTTTCCTAATTTTTTATAGATACCCCAACATGCATCAAGAAACTGGTTTATTTGCAGAGTTATTCGAAAATGATTCGACATATGTTAATGTTTACTGCTTACAGAATTAAAGTCATTTAAGTTTTTATCAATAATTTACCAACCAAAAAAGGCGACAACCTCTACTGTGTAGTTTTTTATTAAATAAACTAGTTAGATGTAACTTCTATTTTTAGAGTAGAATGTCTGATTTCTAACGGTACCGTTTAAACCTTTGGCTGACCAAGGTCTTCATTTATGACAAATTGTAACTAACTCTGAATGCAAGCTGTTTTATTTCGAAAATATTATCATTTTTTTCACAGAAAATTTATTCCCTGCAAGTGTTTATCGCAGAAACACTAAAAAACACAGAAAAATGTGAGAAGGGTATTGTTGTGAATAGAACAATACCACTCTTTAAATGAAGGCCACTTTGAATTACGTTTACAGTCCCTTAGAATAAGATATTTTACCTGTTTGATCCCCAGGTTCCTCGTCAAATATTTGAAGATCCTTGCAATAGAACCAGGCGATAATATCGAATATTGTTGAGATTATAACGAAAACTCCAACAAAGGAACTGATTGTAGTTCGCATACGATGATTATCGTACAGGAGACAAGTAGTTCGCTCACCACAGTTCTCTCCCCACACGATACAGGAGTTATCTGGAGTAACATAATTTATCATTAAAGGAACTAAATCATTTCCACAAACTCTGGTTTTATAATCCATATATCTTTGCACCCCAATTTTGTATACATTAGATATTCAATGACTATATCAATTCTTTGAGTTTCTTAGTTTAAAATATTAAGGCTAGCCTACGCAATGTTGTTGTAAGGATAAAGGGATAAGAAAGTTTTAGTTTGTGGCGGAGACTCAATATTCCTTTAGATCTTTTCCAAATAATTTTAAGAATCAGAATCTACACTCTACAGTCTACTGTCTACTGTCTACTGTCTACACTCTACAGTCTACTGTCTACTGTCTACACGTTATAAGAGTAACTAATATGGACAAATTCACCTTGCTAGCAATTTATTTCCGTACATTAAAATAAAGTAGATTTAATTACAGATTGTAATTTCGCGCGCATGCTTTCTATCATATCCAATTTTTTCTGAAGAGCTATTAATAAGAAACATGTTAAAAATCCATTTATGTAAATCCATCTTTGCCATTCCTTTTACCATGTAAAATCAAAACTAGGCGAGTAGCGAGGTAGCAAGGTTGTTCCAGTATATTTTGCCATGTTCTTTTTGTCTAGATAGGAGGAGTANTATATATTATATATTATGAGACTGGAGGAAGGGGATCAATTTATACAGATTTATAATATCTTTATTTTCTTCCTGCTTCTATCAAATGCATTTTGCAGCCAAAGCCAATTAATTTCTTGTTTCCTCCTTTATGGTGTTTGATATTAGAATCCCGCAGATTTATGTTGGGATAAAAAGCTCATAAAAAGTTTAGAAAATCCTAGAAAATTATTGTTTTAACACATACAGGGCTCCCCAGAAGTTTATGAAAGCCTGACATGCCTACGAAGGGGGAGGCAATTGTTTATTCTTCTGAAACAATTAATCTAAGACAGAATTCAAAAGTTAAATTTCTTAGAATCCCCCCCCCTCCCAATTATCTTTAAATATTTCTCCTCGAAATAGGAAGACGACATTTAACACATCTTATGTGTTGTTGTTGTTATTACAGGCAAATAGTTTTAACCTCGGCTTACAAATCAACTTATTTAATAAAATGGGTCTGTGTACACTGCACAAATACTATTTTTTTTGGTTGGTTGGACTTCCTAAAATCATAATTGTCGTCTTTCTATTCCGCAGTTTCACGGGCCCCACTGTGTGATAGTTTCCATTTAAAGGGACTGTAAAGGAAAAATGAATGGGGGTATAGGCTGAAACCTAAGTATTTTAGGAGTTAAGCGAGTCCCATAAAAGTGATACAGACGGCGACACGTGTCAATGATACTGCACTGCCAGTGGTGGAAGTTTTGATCACCAAACAACTTCCCGAAAATGCGCTTAATCTTACCTAATAACTTCCCGACAATGATCTTAATCTTATCTTATAACTTCCTGACAATATTATTAAACTTACCTAACAACTTCCCGAATTCGATCTCAATCTTACCTAAAAACTTCCCGAATTTGATCTTAATCTTACCTAATAACTTCCCGACAATGATCTTAATCTTACCTAACAACTTCCTGACAATGATCTTAATCTTACCTAACAACTTCCCGATAATGATCTTAATCATATCTAATAACTTCCTGACAATATTATTAAACTTATCTAATAACTTCCCGACAATGATCTTAATCTTATCTAATAACTTCCTGACAATATTATTAAACTTACCTAACAACTTCCCGACAATGATCTTAATCTTATCTAATAACTTCCTGACAACGATCTTAATCTTACCTCACAACTTCCCGAAAATGCTCTTAATCTTACCTAATAACTTCCCGACAATGATCTTAATCTTATCTTATAACTTCCTGACAATATTATCAAACTTACCTAACAACTTCCCGAATTTGATCTCAATCTTACCTAAAATCTTTCCGAATTTGATCATAATCTTACCTAATAACTTACCGACAATGATCTTAATCTTACCTAACAACTTCCTGACAATGATCTTAATCTTACCTAACAACTTCCCGACAATGATCGGGGATGGAAGAAATGCGAAGAGGGATAAAACTGAAACCATGATGAGAAGGCTCGCACTTTTATCCTCAGGCTCAACTTAATAAAAACTTTTAATATGACTCTTCATAAAAATTAAAAAATGTGTAAATGAGTTTATTGGAACTTTTTTATGAGTTTAGAAATTTTAACCAAAACCGATTTTGAAAATGTTCATTTAAAAGTGTTTTTGAATAATAAGAGTAGACCCAACCCATATTCGCCTGTTCTTAAAGATATAAGAGTAGACCCAACTCATATTCACACCTGTTCTTAAAGATATAAGAGTAGACCAAACCCATATTCACCTGTTCTTAAAGATATAAGAGTAGACCCAACCCATATTCACCTGTTCTAAAAGATATAGGAGTAGACCCAACTCATATTCACCTGTTCTTAAAGATATAAGAGTAGACCCAACCCATATTCACCTGTTCTTAAAGATATAAGAGATTAAGGACCTAACCCATATTCACCTGTTCTTAAAGATATAAGAGTAGACCCAACCCATATTCGCCTGTTCTTAAAGATATAAGAGATTAAGGACCTAACCCATATTCACCTGTTCTTAAAGATATAAGAGTAGACCCAACCCATATTCACCTGTTCTTAAAGATATAAGAGTAGACCCAACCCATATTCACCTGTTCTTAAAGAAATAAGAGTAGACCCAACCCATATTCACCTGTTCTTAAAGATATAAGAGTAGACCCAACCCATATTCACCTGTTCTTAAAGATATAAGAGTAGACCCAACCCATATTCACCTGTTCTTAAAGATATAAGAGTAGACCCAACCCTGCTTGTTGATGAAAGTAAACTGAAAACCAGCATACATGATACTAATAAATATTAAAAATGTTATTCAACGAGTTTCATGCCTAATACTTTTAAAAACTTTGTCTGATCATGAATGAATGGAAATTCCTTATTTTTCTACCTTAAAACTTTTTTTCAATTGTGGTTGTTCTGTGTACTTAAGTGAGGAGTGAAAATAAAAGAAATTATCATTGTAACTTGAAATCATGGTTTCAGTGTCTTTAAATTTAGTTTAACATATTTTTTAATTTTTCAATTGTAAAAATATTTCTTTTACTTTTTTCGGAAGATTGCTTAAATATCTAAGGTATTTTTATAATCAATATTTGAAAAAAACTTTACACAACAATAATAAGAAAAAATTTAGAAAATAATTGTAATTGTTTCAGATAAAATGTAAAATTTGAAGGATATTTTGTCAGAAAATATTAGAAACTTGCAAATAATAAAAGGTCTGTAAATAAAGTATAAACCTCTTAAAAAGTTGAAGCTTTCAGAAGTGAGCAAACAATACAGAGTGAAGATTTAATGCTTCAAAGAAAATTTACTTCAGAGAAATAAATTATAGATATTTAAAATACATTTTATTCGAGTACTTCTTTATAAAACCTTATATTTATATATATTATATATTGTTGGAGGCAAATTTTTAAAAATTCCATCTTTTATAAACTTTCCCTGTGGACATGTGAGGTCCCACCCAAAATTTGGGACCGATTGGTTCAGCCGTTTTGACGTTCATTGGATACAAACAGACAAACAAAGAGACAGACAGGCAAAGTATATAGATAGATGTATAAAATTTACATTGAAGACTAAAATTATAAATTCCGCTTTATAGTTAATACATTAATTGAATATGAAACATGTAGGAGATAATACAATTAAACTGTGTTACAATTCCCCAGGCACCCTCCACTAAGCATTCGGTACAGGTGACAACAACGTCGTTCTCAGCATACAATTAGTCTAGATTTGATTTGAAAATAAGTAGATTTTGTATCATTGATAAAC